AAAAAAAATTGAGTAATTTTTCATTTAAAAATTTTGATTCCAAAAATGGTTCGTCAGTTCATTGTCCCAGCAGCTGTGTCGAAGTGTCTACCTATATTTTCTACCATGGGAAACTCTCGGTCAGAAGGTCTAGATAATTCCGGCGCCCACCATTAAAATAATGTGGCTGATTTCCTAAACTTTCTTTTTCGGGAAAATTTCTCTTTGTTTTTTTTTTTTTTAAGTTCCCAATATGCGAATGTTGGCGCCCAACGAAAAAGTATCCTGAAAATGATTGCATCTAATAATTTCATTTACCGATACAAATAAATGTTTTCAATTTCCTAGCCAAGCACTGTCCTTGAGATATCCACTACACAACACATTTATATATCTGTCTCTCCTCCCCCTTCCCCACCCTCCACACTTTCTTTACCCAATTTCCCATTCCTTTGCCCAAACTACCTTCATCTTTTACGAACGTTTGCGTTTAATCTTGGCCTTATTTGAAAGTGAATACCTTTAACCGTTTCTCTTTAGACGTTGCTGTTTTTTTTTTCCTGTTTCCATCGTTTCCCTTTCCTTTTACTTTACGGCCATATCACGTTTCGAAAATGAACAAAACCCCACAAAAAAAACGAAAACGAAACGAAAACTGAAAATGGAAACTTTTTCACTTACCAAAAGTTATTTTAGAGTTCGTTTTCTTCTTGGGACTGTTCCTTTTATGGCTCGCTTTTGGCTGCCTTACACCGATGCCACTAAAGTAGTTTTATGCTCCGTTACTGCTTCAGCTGCTGGTCGGCCTCAAAACATACATCTTCGAAATGTAATCATCGTTAGAGGCAACATTCGCATAATCATAAATTGCATTTCTTTTTCCTTTTTTCGTTTTTTTTTTTTTTTTTTTTGGCAAAGAGATTTAGTGTGGTTCGAGAGAGCAGGAGAGGCAAAGGAAGCTGCTTTGCTTCAAACATAAATATTTACAACAGAAGCTTACCATGGTTTTGTGGGTTTGAACACAAGTCCATAAATGTTGTTGTTTTTGCGAAAAATCCCAATGAGGTTATGAAGCACGCAGAAAAAAAAAACCAAGAACCTAATGCAAATTTGAGCAGGTCCATAAAATGAGGAAATGTAAAACAAATAAAGTGAAGAGAGAGAGAGAGAGAGAGAGAGAGAGAAAAAAAAACAATGAAAGGTTTAAAGGTCAGATATTCTTTAGCGAATGGAAGAGTTCTTTAGCGAATGGATGCCGGATTTATCCAAGGGCTTGGAAAGAAGAAGTAATGTAGTTCACCTAACCTGTGAGAAGAAATAATAGTGGGATTTTTTGGAGGCGACTTGTGGGCAAACCAACCATACTTATCCATTCTGGCGCCCAACCTTAATGTTAATAGAGAATTTATGAATGAAATGAAGGTGGGATTTTTGAAGTTGGAATAACTTGTGACCAGACTTAGTCTTTTTTTATAGGAGCTACATGCTGGCGTCCAGGCAAATTAAGCCAACGCATTCTGGCGCCCAACGTTAATGTCAAAGGAGAATTTATGGACTAAATAAAGGTGGGTTTTTGGGAGTTGGAATAACTTGTGACCAGACTTATCCTTTTTTTATAGGAGCTACATCCTGGCGCCCAACGTTGCCGTCCTATACGAAATAATTTATTAAGTTGGGAATAAGGAATGAAGTTGGAATTTTTGTATTTTGAGAGACAAACCAACCAAATGAAGACTCTATTTTTGAAGCAGATAATTAAACGCAGAACAATACAAGGCATTGTGGCGCCCAACGTTAATGTCAAAGGCGTATTTATGAATAAAATAAATGTGGGATTTTTGGAGTTGGAATAACTTGTGACTAGACTTATCCTTTTTATAGGAGCTACTTTCTGGCGCCCAACGTTGACGTCCTATGGGAAATACTTGATTTTAGCCATAGCTTCATTTAGGAATAAACTTAGGAATTTTGTACTTTTAACCATTTAGAGGCAACCGACAAAACTAAACACACAATTTTTTTAAGGAGATACTTTAACTCATTCTTCCAATCGAAATTGCGAATTGCTAAAGAATGAAGGTGAAAGGCTTTGAATGCGAAAAGCTCTTGGACAAAGCGACCTAGTTGCGAAACACTTAAGCTCATTCTGGCGCCCAACATAATTGTACTGGGAGAAAAATGGAATTTAATCACTGTTTGGCAATGCAATGAAATTGAGTTCTTTTAAGAATTCGAACAGCTTTGCCACTGGTTTTGACAAGAGTTACTTAAAACTCTTTCTGGCGCCCAACGTTTTTTTAATAAAAATGGATATTTTTGGAATTTGAACAAAGAGACCAGACATAGCCATTGTTTTTTAAAAGAGTTAAGTGCAATGCATTTTGGCGCCCAACGTAAGTGCAGAGTGCGAAAAATGGGATAAAGGTGGATATTTTTACTCCAAAAACGACCACACATCACAGTTTTTGACCAGATATGCTTCCAATGCATTGTGGCGCCCAACTTAAGTGTGGGACGAAAAGTAATAAATTCTAACCGTAGCTTTTCTTAGGAATAAATATGGAATTTTTGGCAGATACTAATAACTCGTTTTGGCGCCCCAACTTAAGTGTAATGTGAGAAATATGATTATAAACATCAGTTCGGTATAGGAATGAAATTTATAGAATTTGAGCAACTTGGCAATATTTTTGGCTTAAGCGACACTTTAAATTAATTTGGCAAGGGATTGAAAGTGGATTTTTTAGAATACAAGCAATTTGACCATTTTTTATAAGCGATACTTGAAATTAACTCTGGCGTCCAACCTAAGTGCCACATAGGAAATTGTGGACTTTTTACGTAATTTTCGTAAGAAATTAAGGATTTTTTCGAGGAAATTATGGGAAAAATTATGAGAATTACCCACTTAAAAAAAACATACTACTCGTTCTTCCGTCCAACGTGATTGTAATGTGAGAAAAAATGGAAAGTAACTCTAGTTTCGGAAAGGAATGAAGATGGAATTTTTTGCAATTAGAGCACTTTATAGGCAAACCGAAGATACGTCACAATTTTTGACCAGTTATAATCGCAACTCATTCTGGCGCCCAACGTAAGTGTGATATGAAACTTAATGAATGATAGCTATAGCTTTTCTAAGGAAAAAGTGTGGGATTTTTTTTTTGGTGTTCAAATAAATTATGGGCCAAATGACCAAACTTACCCGTCTTCTATGTCAGCAGATATTAAAACTTGCTCTGGCGCCCAACGTAAATGTAATGTGTGAAAACATAGGTGGTAACCTCAGTTTGGAAAATCACTAAGAACTCAAACAACTCGTCACAGTTTTTACCAGAGATACGTGAAACTCAATCTGGCGCCCAATGTTGGTGTCATATGAAATTCAATGGATGGTAGTCATTACTTTTCTAAAGAATAAATATGGGGTTTTATGGACCTAGTGATCCGACTTAGCCACTTTTTTTGATAAGACATATCTAAAAATCGTTCTGTCGCCCAACGTCAGTGCAAAGTGAGGAAAAATGGATGGTAACCTTAGTTTGCCATAGGAATGAAATAGGGATTGTTGGTGTTAGAGCAACTTATAGACACACTGACCACTTGTCGGAGTTTTTAAGCAGATATACATAAAACTCATTGTGGCGCCCAACGTAGGTGTTGTGGGGAAATAATAAATGGTAGCCATAGCTTTGCTTATGAATAAATGTGGGTTTTTTTTTTGGAGTTTAAGCAAATTATGGGCCAAAAACTCGTTCTGGCGCCCAACAATTTTGTTACATGAGAAACATTGGATAGTAGCCAAAGCATTGCTGTCGAATCACTGCTAATTTTTTTTTTAATTATGGACTAAATTTCCAGACATTACCACGTTTTTGGTCATTCTGGCGCACAACGTAAGAGTAGTGGAAAAAATACGGATTAAGCCATGGTTGAGCAAAGTAATGATGGATGTTTGTTTTTTGGAGTGGGAGGAACCTCTAATCCAGAAAACTAAACCATTCTTTAAGAGGAGATATAAAAAAAGCGGGGCCCAAATTAATGGCTTGAAGCCATAAGGAAAACCAAAGAAGGTCTGGGTTGTTTGGAGTTCGAAAACTTTGTTTTTATGTTTTAAGGAGCGCCAAGTCTGAATGGAATCGGGGTTTTGACTCTTTGTGAGGGAGGTACCGAAAGGAGAAGACCGATATATTCCATCTTCACATCAGACCTTGGGTTACTTAAAATATTTTAATCTGTCTGTGATAATGGACCCTTACATCATAGGACTTATAATTATTAAAAATGTTGACCCTTTGTGGGGGAGATACGTGATGGAATGGACCGATATTGTCCATTTTCGCATGTTACCTAGCACTGATGGATATATTAAGATTTGCACAGATGGAGCAAAATCGGATTATCCGTTCTCTTTCTGTGCAATAAACTATTTTCTTTGATCATTTCGACATTTTGTGGAATAGGTACCACAAGGAGTGGACCGATATTGCCCATCTTCGAGCTCGATCTAAGTTGGATAATAATAATACGATGCACTAAGTTTGGGACAAATCGGATACTCCCTTCAAAAGTTATCGTGCGCACCAGCCAGTCAGACAGACGGACGGACGGAAACCTCTAGATCGACACTAAATGTCCTGAAGCGGATTTGGCCCAAAAAGACTTAGGGTCTAAAACCGTTATTTTGATGAGGCACGTTTCGCCCTATCAAATGATATATACCCTCTGTAGCCATACCGCTGAAGGCATAATTATGATGTCCAATCCATAAGACTAGCAAAAATCTGACGAGATAGTCTCACAAATGTTCCCTGCATTATTTTTCTTTTTGCAGTGGCGCCCAACATGAAATTCTTTTGAAAAAAGTGTTTTTTTTTTTTTCATTAAAATTTTTGAAGTCCAACCTCCGTTGAAATGGCGCCCAACATAAAATACTTTTGAGTTATTTAGAGCCAATCCAACCAACTTTATATAATTTCTCATCCCTAATTGGCTATATCTCTTTTCTTTTCTCTTTGCAGATTTTTGGAAACTCGTTACTCTTAACTTAACACTGGAATCGCAATGACCAACAGAATGTCGGCGATCAACGAAAAACTACACAAACATCTAAACCTTTCTCTGCTAATGGCAACATTCTCCATTCTGCTAAATAACAACTTTGCGTGGGCTTTTACCAGTGTCTCGCCTAGCTGTGGTCCAAATTTTCCCAGCACTTGCTTGTGTGGACGTGAAATGTATGAGGGCTCCATGCAATACATTGTCAACTGTACCAATGCCGGCCTCCGTAATACCAGCGTTTTGGAATTTATGCCACAAGATGTTGAGGTCCTCATCTTCACTGGGAATTTTATACCCGAATTACCGTGGAATGTCTTCGGATCGATAAATAATTACAAAAATCTGCGGATTGTCGACATGAGTAATAATCATATTCGGGAAATTCGTGGCAAGTCCTATCATCATGTCCAGAATGTGGAACGTTTGATTTTGAATCACAACAATTTGAGTATATCACGCGATGATGATGAGGTGAATCACCATCATCCCAGGGTGTTTTCGAATTTCCTGAATTTGCAAAGTCTTCATTTGACCGATGCCTTTGATGATAACAGTTCGCCGCAACTGAGTGAGGATCTGCATGACATTTTCATGAACAGTGAATTGACCAAGTTGCAGAAGCTGCATTTGGAACAGAACGAGATTACCCATTTCAAGGATCGCAAGGTTTTCTGTGACTTGCCGAGTTTGAGGGATTTGCATTTGGGTGATAACTATCTGAAGGATATTAATTTCGATGTGGCCTGTTTGAAGAATTTGAGATTTTTGGATTTGGAACGGAACAAATTTGAGTTTGTCAAGACCCATGATCTGATGGTGTTGAATCAGTTGGAGGCCCGGCCAGATCGCACTACCAACCTGATTGTGGATTTTAATTTGAATCCCTTTACATGTGACTGTAAAATCAGCTCCTTCCGCACATGGATCCATTCCACCAATGTCACGGTGCGCAACAAGGAAAGTCTTATGTGTTTCCATGACGAAGTAAATCCCCTGCCCATTTTGGAAATTGATATGTCCCAGTGTAGTGCTGCCATTGCTGCAGCCACCATTATGTTCAACACGGCCACCGACAATCATTATGGCCTGGGTGGTGGTGGTCATGAGAATTCCGGCTTGGCCCAACATACCGCCACCTTGATATTCCTGTTGATTGTTCTGAGCATGATTTTATTAGGTCTGGTCATAGCCCTGGTCTATGTTAGCCGTGACAAATTGAAATTCATGATTACGCCCGTTTTCGATAATGTGGCCAAAAAGGTCCAATACACCTCCATAAAGGATGAAGATTGTCCCGAAGTGCATGTTTAGAGAGGGAATTATTTTCATTTGGTTTATTTCAACATTTTTACTTTTTCTCTCTTTATTTACTAGATTTAGAAAAGCAAATAAAGTAAAAAAAACAAAACGAAAATAAATCAAAGATAAGTGTATATTATGAATATATATAAAAAAACAAATAATAAAATAACAAAAAAAACTAACCTTAAAAATATAACAGAAGAGGAGAAAAAAAACAAGCAAATAGATAATAGTCATCCATAAGAATAGAAAACAAAAAACAACAACAAAACAACATGAAGAAACCAACGCGCCATTTACAATTAATAAACAAAAAATTAAAAAATGAAGCAAATCAAAAAGTTATAAATAATTTTGTTGTTTAGAATAAAATATATATACATAAAAAAGAGAGTAAAAAAAAAGAAATTAACCTGTGCCATTAACAAAAATAAAACTAAATTTTAAATATTTGTTATTTGTTCTTCATTATACAGTGGTTTATACAGCGATTTCCAACGTTTACAACCTTAGCATCGCATAGTCTAAAGCACACTTAAGAATTTGCCCAACAAGGGGAAAACGTCATGAAAACACGATGTGGCCACTTTAAAGACTTGATAAATAGGGGATATGCCATGGTGGAAGAATATAGGTAGACGCATCGACACTTATCTACTTATATTAAAAAAAAAACATTTAAAATTTTTTGACACATACAAACGTTCATGCATCTACCTGTATTCTTCTGCCATGGGTAATATGCCATATTTACATTGAATGAAATCTTGTTCCTTAAGCTTCTATCGCATCGGCGCAGCTGCTGGGACAATGAACTGTCAAACCAATTTTGGAATTAAAATTTTTGAATGAAAGATTATTCAAATTTGTAAACATTGTTCAAAAAAATGCATATATGCAAACGGAATCCCTGCATAAACTTACACGCAATCAGCTGATTTGTCAAAAAACAATCTGTGCGCCATAAAATGAAATAATGCGTGTAAAAATTAAAAACCGAATTAAAAATAGTTCGACTTCCGATTTGCAAATGAAGAAGTTTGCTTGCCACAAAGGCAGGAAAAAAGAGTTGCAATTGATTGCAAGAAGATATTTATCCTGAGAAAATTGCCTAACTCTCAGTAAGAAACTAAAAATTTCACTCTCGAATTTTTTTGAGAAAATAATTTACCTCATAGAAAGAGAACGGATCATTTAATTATGTACAAACTTCGTAAATCTCAATATTTTTGACAATACTAGGTCAGATGCGAAAATGAACAATATCGCTCCACTCCAAAAGTCCCATTCTCTTAAAATTTCGCACATCCCAATATTTATATCAACACAAGATCTGTGATCAAGATTCTTCTCCTGGTACCATGAAACGCGAAATGAACATCCAACTCTTTTCAAACATTCATCTTTTCAAAACAACATGACAATACTTTAAAAACAATTAAAATACTCACCCATGGCAAAACGATAGAGGTAGTCTCATTTCATATCTAAAATATTCAGGTATGGCATATTTAACAACAAATACGTTTTATTTTAAGTCTTTCTTAAAGGATCAATGTGAAATATTCTTGCACAAAAAGGACAAAACTAATTGTTACTAGTTTTCCGTTCCTACCCGATAGCTTTTATTGCCAGTGCTATAGTATCGTGCAAAATTTACTCACAATTATTTGAAGGTTTGTCGAGCTTTGAAAATCGTTTATGAAAAATTGATGTGTGGCTAGTCCCCTTTAATCTTTTGGTAAATGAGAGATATGCCCAGTTTACACTAAACGAACTGTCATTTATAATAGGTGTCATGGCAGAAGAATACAGGTAGATGCATCAACGCTTGGGAGCATTGATATGTCAAAAAAATTCAAATGTTTTTTCCAGTATAAATAGATTTTTATATGTTTTCTTATACTACCTCATTCGTAGGCTATTATAATTCGCGTTTTTGAACAATTTTTAAAAAATTAAATAATTTTTCATTCAACATTTTCAATTCTAAAATTGGTTTGACAGCTCATTGTCCCAGCAGCTGTGTCGACGCGCCTACCTATATTCTTCTACCATGATAGGTGTATTACTCTATATTCTAACATTATTTAAAATTTCTGCATTTGACAACATCTGATTGTCAAAATCTATATTCAGAAATCCATTGTATAAACACAAAATCTGTTTTTATGCATTTTTTTTTTATCAAATTTTTTATTCTTGATTTTGATCCTTATCTAAAAAAACTGAAGCACTGAAGAACCTGCGAACATTATTGAGTTTCAAAAGCAAAAAATAGTAAAAATGGCAAAACTTTAAGGTTCTTGCCTTGTCAATAAACGTCAGCTGATAAGAACTGATGATTTCATCCGTATTGTTAAAAATAATGTAATTGTAAATTCAACGTATTAAAACGTAAACAAACATTTTGACAGTTTGAATTTTTCAATCAAAATGGCTACTTCGATAAGATCAGCTGATTTCATCCGTATGAGAATATTTTGACAGTATGAGCGGCTTTAAATCAAAATGTTAGAATTTATTTGCATTAACACGGCCTTTTTAATGGACCTTGCTAAAATCACAGTAAAACTATGTTTGCAGTGAAGCTCTTTATGGCGTTACTTATACTATCACCTCTGTTAGAACAGGGCCCGGACTAGAAAAATGGAATTTAATTCAAGTATAATAAATCAATCTAATTGACATTCGCAAATATGTGCTCTTTAGTTTGGCTTTCACTGTATAAACACTGTATTGTTTTCTATTAATTTTCATATTTCCTAAACACCTGTTTTAAATTTATCAATTACCTTTTTTTCAAAATTTCTTTCAAAAAAAAAGACCACAACTGCATTTATGAATAACAAACAAAAATTAAGACAATTTTTAAACACACACATGTTATAAATCATATAATTAAAGAAATATTAATTAATTAATTAAAATATTAACAAACAATTAGGCCATAATTTGTATTAATAATAATTGATGATATAATTTTATTATTTTCCTTTCTTCAATAACACAACAAGTATTTATTATTATTTCACTTTACATGCATATAAAAAACAGAAAAGCAAACAAAATATATAAATATGGCAAAAAAATCAGTTATATTTTTGAAAAGTGTAATTAAAAACGAAAGAAAAGAAACCAATATCGCATTGAAACTATATATATAACCACATATCACGCTCTCTTACTCTCTCTATATATACGGAAAAAATATATATGGATTCGAAAATGTTTTCTAATAACTTTGAATTAACCTTAGATAAAACTGTGATTTAAGTTATTAACGAAAATGGAGAGTTATTGTATCCATTAATTGAAAATTGTTTCCCCCACTTTAATTGAAATCATTTGAAAAGTTTTTGATTGTTTGCATATATTTTTGTTTCGATTGCTCATTAATGGCCACTTTACTCTGTAAAAATATAACATGAAGTAAACATCAGCTGTTATTGGCGTCAGCTGATTTTGACATATCAGCATAACTTAAACCAAGTTCACACCATATAGTTTACTTCTTCCACACTCTCAAAATTGATTGATTTCTACTGAAGATTTATTTATTAATATCTATTGATCATGAAACAAACCTCAGCTGCCTTTGACATAGCCATAATCTCCGTACAATTTAAACCACGTTCACACTATTCAGCTATTTCTAGTATTCAACACTTTCAAGATTGATTAATTTCCGCAGATGTGCAATTTATAGAACATATTTACAGAGTAAAATGCCCATTCAATTACATATTTTTTCTGAATAAAGTCTTAAGTAAAACTCCTATAACAACTCCATCCAACCATATCATCCAACATTGTATTGCAAGTATATTTAGTTTACTTATTTATTTCTTTCTTATTACTAACTAATTAACCCTATTTTTTGGTACTAACTCTTTAAATTGAATCTTTAATTTTTTTATTGTAACAAAACTGTTGTTAGTTGTAAACAATTATTTTGATAAGAATTGAAATATCAATAAAGCAAACAAAAGACGAAAAAGGAAAATCGAATGTGTTTTAGTTTTATTTTTTTTTTTTTTTTTGTTTTTGTTTTTTTTTTTTTTGGCTGGTAAGTTATATACATTTGTTAATACTCAATAACTTCTTCTGAGAGAAGTTGCTCTCTTATGGGCATACATTACAATAGCTTATCGAAGGACATTTAGTAAAATTCAGCAAGAAATCAGCTGTTCCTTAAAAACTATGTGTCACATTTTTTGAAGTCGTTAAGAGAACATGATGAAAATGATGTTTTTACAGAAAAAAAAAATAAATAGATTCATGGCACAATACCATAATTACCTCATAAAAAACAATTTTTTTCTTTCAGTGCCCATATTCTTTCAAAAAATATACACACTTGGTATATGTGCGTGCATTCTTTTGAATAAAAAAAATTGAAATTATTTAAAATTTAAATGCAACCTGAATGCATAATTTCAACGTTAACAGTCAACAAAATGTATAATTTTGGGATAAAACAATATTGTCCCTCTATCTTGGATTAAATTTTGTGCAAAACCCCAATATTTCATTCATGTTCGACGGAGTTTCCCCAATTGCATGGTAGAAGAATATAGGAAGATGCATCAAAACTTGCGAACATTGATATGTCAAAATTTTAAAATTGTTTGGTCAAAAATAAGTAGATTTATTTAGATTTATTATATATTTTCTTATTTGATGCAAATCGGAGGTTGTTACAATATGCATTTCTCAACAATTTTTACAAATTTTAATAATTTTTCATTCAACATTTTTAATTCCAAAATCGGTTTGACAGTTCATTGTCCCAGCAGCTGTGTCGAAGCGACTACTTGTATTCTTCTATCATGCCCAACTGATGCAAGTTAAAAAGGCTATTTGACATAATAAGTCTGGAGTACATAGTTGCGTTTTTCCCGGTTTTTTCTATGAAGTTGGGCCATTGATAGATTTATTTCTTACCAGAGAATATCAACCTATGCCAAATCCTCAGTCAATTCTTCATTGAAATTTCTTGGAAATAGGATTTTTGGTCAATAAGGCCAAACTACAATTAGCAATTGTCTTCTTTTCCTCCATAAATAATAAAGATATATTTGTTAATTGTGTCATCAAGTCTAAAGTGGTCTTATTTCACTCATAAGTTTCACGTTTCTACTAACGAATGCCGTTAAATTGTCACACAGCTATGTTAATGGTGCCCCCAAATTTGTAGCTAGTTCCGCGCTCTTTTAGTGAATGTGTTCAGTTTTCCTCATGTCTCATTCGTAAACAAGAGAGTACTTTGCTTTTGTTTTTTTTTTAACAAGTTTTCCTTTTTGGCCTTCATATTCGTTTCGTTGGGAACGTCTTTCATTTGGCTTCCTACGCGCGCATTTGCCCTGTTCTGCTACAACACAACAGGACACCTCAACCACAATAACAATTTTTTCCAGAGATAGGCATTTTTACCAAAAATTCCGGGAAACTATTTTTTTTTTCTTGGGGGACGGACCCTGGACCACTGATCCCGAGCCGAAAAAGGTTTTAGCATAAATTGTAGCATTTTGGAAAGGTAAGAGTGTCAGCTATAATTTGGCATCAATTTCGTTGGCCCCAACAATGGGCCCTTTTTCGACTTTTTGGAGGTTTTATAAAAAACCGGGTCCAAAAAATCGATAATTTGACTATAACTTCCGAACCATGACCACTTACCCACATCATGACCACTTCCCAACGATACCTAAATTGGTATCCCGGGTTTTCTCAGGGTAAAAATACATACTACTGTTAAGCCCAAAGGGTAATACAAATTAAAAGACAAGTCCCCTTATCTAAATATTGGTTTTGTTTCGTTTCGTACTTGGAGAAAAAACAAAACGAAACGATTGTAAACGTTTAATATAGTTTATTTTCGTACGCTGTTCAGAACTTTGAGTACTAATAGTCGATTATTCAATTAATCGGAAGTCGACTTACCTATCCCTAATTAAATTTAGGTAGTCGTTGTGAAGAATAACAAAGTAAACAACTGGTTTAGTTTAATCAATAAAACAGGTGTTAAATCAATGACAAGGGCCAACACAAAACAGGGTGCTTCATAGATGGTTTGAAATTTGCAAATCTAATTTGTTTAAAAAAGAACTATTTGCATTAATTTATTTGTTTTTGTTTGAAAACAAAAACATACGAACGGTTTTTTGCCTATAGTGTGTGTTTTTGTTATGCAACAACATTTAATTAAGTAAACTTTTTAGATTCTAGCATTAGATTTTGTGAAACCTTTCAACGAAGTGCATTTATTTAATTGTGATATTAGTTAAGTTCTTAAAGAAAATATAAAATAAACAAAAATCAAATGTAAGTCATAATCAAGGTGTTGTTGTTATTGTGTGATCTTATCGTTTTGCCAAAGTGATCTTATCAAGAACTATTTCTCGTTTCACCCTTTTCACACATTGTCGTTAAGAAGAAAATAAAATCAGCTGGTTTTCTAAGTTTCTAAATATTAATCGTTGATTGTTTTTTGCTTTTGTTGCCTTTTTGTCAATCTACTACTTGTTACAATTTAGATGCTTCATAATAGTATACGATTGTTGAACAAAACTTGTCGTCTCCCGCCACGCCAACTGTATCAGTTAGTCGCCTTTGAGCAGCAGCAGAACCAACATCTCGTCAAGAAACGTGAATATAGCACAGCCGGAATAATGGAGAAATTCGATTTGCCACAACGTCTGCAGGGTAGTGCTCCCAGTGTCTGGTATGAATTTAAAATAATTTTATATAGTTTATCTTATTAACTGTCTGTCTACCCATTTAGGAATGAATACATTGCCCTGGCCATGGAATATAAACCCTTGAATTTGGGCCAAGGTTTCCCCGATGATGCTGCTCCCGAATATGTCACCAAAGCTTTGGCTGAAATTGCAAACGATGAGAACCCTTTGCTACAGCAATATACCCGCGGTTTTGTAAGTCCATTGAATTACTTCATTGATTGCCCAAAGCGATAAGGAAGTGATGTTGTTTTACAGAGAGGGAGAGATAGAGATCGCGGAAATTCTAACAGACAAGTTTATTGTTTAATTACTTGTGAAATTAAAATAACTTAAACATTTTTGTTGTGTTTTAGAGATGTGTGTCGTCGCATAATTAAGTCACATTAGAAAACATATGGATTGTAATTTTGTTTGGACACGCTGCAATTTTCACGCATTTAAAAAATGTTCCGATAAGAATCCTTACATGGGACTCCATATGGCTTTCTAATTGGAACATCATAATGACATTATGATCCTTAAAATTATGACAAAATTTCCGGCAGTTTCGAGATGAATTATATTAACAGTATTGCTTTCCAGTTGGTGTTGTAGTACAGATTTTCCATACAAAATAGTGGAAGACAAAACTTTTCTGATGATATTTTTTATTTTCTAACGTTTTTATATATATTTGTTCTAGAAAAGAATCTATACATCTGAAACCATATGTTTCTCGTGCGGATGCATATGGCTATTATGGCATTGGAGTTTATGGAAGACAAGACTGAGTAGAATAGGCACATAAAATAAGAGTTTTATTATTTAAAATATTTAAAATAGTGGAACTCAAAACTTTTCCGATGATATTCCTAATTTTGTAATGTTTTTATATATTTTGTTACGAAAACGAATCCATATATCTGTCTTCATATGGCTTCCTCGTTTAGATGCATACGCTTGAGAGGTTTGCCCGCTATTATAGCATTGAAGTTTTTACGTAGCATATGGAAGATATAGTCAGTGAATTACTGTGCCTATACTAGCACATAAAATAGGAGTTTAAATATGTTCTATTTAATCCATTTCAACATATATATCATCTAAATGGGAAGCCTTTTATACAAATCCATATGTTTCTTCACTTTTACACTATCCAAGTAATACGAGAACAGATGTTCAATTAGTAGTAATGATTATAATTTATCAATGGACGAAGACAGATTTACAATCAATAACCTTGAAATATTTCAATGTAGCCTTATATTCGATGATTTTTCAATATTCTTCAATGAAAAAATCGTGGATTTTTTCCGGAGTTTTGACTTGACAAAGGACTTCCAAATCTTTGGATTTTTTAAAGGATATCTAGTCCATAATCATACAAAAGAATAACCAGCCCTCCGAAGTTAATTTTTTAAAGAATTTTGCAAAAGATATCCAGACCTCCAAATTCGTAGTAATTAAATTATCACAAAGAGTACCCAGTTCCGAATTGTCATGGATTTATTGTAGACCAGCAAACGAGTTTGCCTTAAATTTTCACTTCTTCATCTCTAGGAAGGTTTTTACGTTATCAATGAACAAGGACAGATTCACAATCATAAACTTTTAAAATATTTCAAAGAAGCCTTATATTCGATGATTTTTCAATATTCTTTAAAGAAAAAGTCGTGGATTTTTCGTGCAAAGGACCTGTCAATAATCGTGTTTTTTTTTAAAGAATATCCAGCTCTCCGAAGTTATAAATTTTAAATTATTTTACAAAAGATATCCAAACCTCCAAATTGGTAGTTATTAAAAATATTGTCTTGGTTTTATTTTAAACCAGCAGGCGAGTTGCCTTCTATTGTCACTTATTCATATCTGTATGTATTTGCCGCTTTTTCTCTCTCTCCTTAATAAATCGTTAATTTAAACAAAATGATCTAAATGTCCAAACAAGGTATTTGTCAAAATCTACATCGATACTAATTTCTCTTAAATTATCTTCCATAGGGTCACATGCGTTTGGTGCAAGCCATTGGAAAATTGTATTCCAAGCTTTTACAACGTGAAATAAATCCTCTCAACGAAGTCTTGGTAACATCTGGAGCCTATGAGGCCTTATATTCAGCCATTATGGGTCATGTTGATGTTGGCGATGAGGTCATTATTATTGAGCCATTTTTCGATTGTTATCATCCCATGGTTAAGATGGCTGGAGGCGTATCCAGATTTATACCATTGAAGCCAGTAAGTAATACAATCAATTTCCTTAGTTTGTTTTCTCAATGTTAAAGTTTTCTCTATTTCTGTTATAGACCAAAACCGAAGGTACAATATCCTCGGCCGACTGGGTCTTAGACGAGCAAGAGCTAAAGAATATGTTCAACAGCAAAACCAAAATGATAATTTTGAACACACCCCACAACCCAATTGGCAAAGTGTTTAAACAAAAAGAACTTGAACTTATTGCTGAATTGTGTAAGAAATGGAATGTCCTTTGCCTCTCGGATGAGGTATATGAATGGATGGTATTTGATGGTAATAAACATATACGCATTTGCACTTTGCCGGATATGTGGGAACGTACCATTACAATTGGTTCCGCTGGTAAAACATTCTCGGTAACCGGTTGGAAGACAGGTTGGGCATATGGTCCAGCAAATTTGATACGCAATTTGCAGATGGTACATCAGAATTCCGTTTATACTTGTGCAACTCCATTACAGGAAGCTGTAGCTCGTGGCTTCGAATTGGAAATGACACGATTAGATAGCCCAGAGTGCTTCTTCAATAGTTTGCCCAGAGAGTTACAGGTTAAAAGAGATTTTATGGCCAAATTTTTACAAGATGCTGGCATGAAACCTACCATTCCGGAGGGCGGTTACTTTATGTTGGCCGATTGGACTAATTTGGGTAAGCGAAATTTACAATCTTTGTTTTTTAATTGCTTGCTAATGATTTTTACTTTAGAAAAGAAAATCAATATCAACTCCGAACCTGATAAATATCGTGATTACAAATTCACCAAATGGATGACTAAAAACATGGGTTTGCAGGTTGGTTTTTCCGTTTCTTTTCATGTATTTTTTTGTTAATTTCTTATGGTTATTTTTCAGGGCATACCTCCCAGTGCTTTTTACAGTGATGAACACAAACATTTGGGTGAAGATTTTGTACGCTACTGTTTCATTAAGAAACAAGCCAATTTGGAAAAGGCCTCCGAATTATTGGAAAAGCTGAAAAATAATTAGAAAAGACACATACCGTTGGGTGTATGGTATTTGAAAGAGGTTACTATTTTATTGAAGTTTATATATTTAGAGATGTTTATGTACGTTTATGTAAATATATGGCAAAAAGAAAAGTTGTATTGAGTTTTGCACTTTTATATCTTCTATGGTTTTTTAGAATATTTTAAAACTTTTGACGATATTAAAAGGGAGATTGTTTTAGTAAATATTTCAAAGGATATTCAGAGTTACATTAATAGAAATTTTAGGATGAGATCAAGTGATCAGAATTTTTATGACTTTTTGAAGAATTTTTCCAACAATGCAAAAGGATCATTAATGGCATTTTTTAGAAATTAATTCCAGTGATATACAAAGTTCTACTACTATTGGTTTTTATGAATATTTTATGAAAATATTCAGAGCTCCATAATCGAGAACTTCATAATCGTTCAATCAAGCTTTATATTTACCCATACTTTTTTAATATTTCGGAAAATTCTGGAGTATTTAAAAAGATATTTAGAATTCTCTAGTAGTGGGACTTTAAAGAATGCTTTTAAGCTTCTTAATATTGTAAAGACTATTTCCGGATCAGTATTCCGGGTTCATTTAAAATATATTATAGAACATTCGTGGCTCTTTTATCATTGCAATAGTGAACACCTCAAGATCTAAAAAAATAAAAAATAAGATCTAAAATTATAATCTTAGATTTTTTAAGACTATTTCAATTGCGAAATTTTCAACCGCATTCGATGAATGTTCTATTTAATAAATACTAATATTGCGATTTTTGAAAAAATGTGTCAAAGAAGCCACATGGGAGATTGATATTTTTATAAGTTTTCTCTAGAAAGAACCCCAAGAAAGCACCTATTACTAAAAGAAAATCTGAAGGTTCCCAATAATTATACTATGCCCTGAGAGGTGTAACAGGATGCCTCCCTATGAAATTCTTGAGTTCCGCGTATACCATACATATATCCTTAACAATGGCACTCACAAGCTTTAAGTCTCTGAAAAATTATTCTCATAAAATCCTGGTTCATATTCCTTTAAATCCCACGAATATTTATATCTTCATGGGACTCACACACGTAGTTAACGAAGCAACGAGTTTTACGTACTCTCCAAAAATATTCATAACCAACCAATCATGAGCTCAAATGTGTCTAAAAAATAGTCAATGCTTTAAAAACTTTTATTAACAATTCAAAGTCCAAAAAATGTGAATCAAGTTCAGAGGAAAACATCATCAGTACCCTACGTATTATAACTTCGGAACAAAGGCTCAACTTGGTTATGGGAATCTTTGGTTGAATGTTCAAAAAAACATCATAATTTGGTCTCAATAGACAACCCCATTTCCGTATATATTTCAACATTTAATTGAATACCCAAAAACAGTCATTTTTTGTTTACGCTTGGCAACCCTAGAATAAAAACATTTGTTTTTCCCCTTCCCATTAAACATTTTTACACAAAATTTACCACTCAAGGCCATTATGCATCTATCAAAAATTAATGAAAATTTACAAATATATCAATTATCCTCACACTCCCTTAAACATTTTCAATTTCTAGTCATTACACACAAAAAAACCTAACCCCACTTTTTATTCGTGCTCACTTTGACTAAGCATACCTTTATCGAAGAAGTCACACAAACGCTAACACCACCAGCACCACTACGATTACATAAGTGACACAAAACCCAATGGTTTTTTTCTTTTAACAGATTGGACGCTTTATTTTCGTTTTCCCAGGAACAAACTCAATTAGATTTCATATTAATACACTTCCATTTTTAACCAATAAGCGCCCCATTCACAAGTTATTTCTGTTTGTTTGGTTTTTTTCCTTTGTTTTAATTATACTAAATACATTAGAAATGAAGATCTCTCTCCCAGAAAAATTTACATATCGAACACAGACTTAAGGGCCAACTCGGGTTTGTCGTAGTTCAATTCTTCGGGAGTTGGAATGCCCAATTCGGTGAGGGTGGGGCGAACATGGTTAAGGATGTAGGGATAGATTTCATCGGTCTTGTCACCGCACTTGTCTTTGACACCTTCCAACCATCTGATGGCCAAGGCAATGTCGTTAACTTTACGGCAGGCCTTCAAACCGGCATCGACGATCTTGGGAGCTGGCACCAAATCCATACCCAACAAGTCGTTCATGCCCTTGCGTACCTCCCAGCCATCAATATCGGCACGGCTGAAGTAATCTTCATACTGTTTGTCGAATTCCTCGGCAGGAATTTCGTGATGGGCAGCACGTACGACACCAGCACGGCTGGTTACGCCGATGGAGCTACGAGCAATGTTAGCAATTTGGCTAGCAGCAAGGCGGAACATTCTGAAGAATGAAAACGAAAAAACACAATTTTATTGTAACAAATTATGGGTAGAAAATCACAAAAAATATTTGGTTAAGTAATCGCTCGCACCTGAGAGTCTGATAGTTCGCGTTGAGAAAAATCTACTGTCAAAATGAATACACTGTCAGTTGCAACTCTGGTTTGCCAATTGAATAGTTGTTAAAAAGCGTAGTAAAATGTTTATGTATGGTAATACTTTAATTTAAGCGTAAGAAATCGTTGCCAAAAACGTACAGGGTGTTTCATTTGTATAATAAAATAAAGTTGCTGATTTATTTCATATTTACACTAGACATTTTTATACCGATCTAAGAAATTTACAGGATTGATTTGCCTGTAGTGGGATTCGCTAACACATTTTTTAGTTACCGCTTTTCTATCATAATTTTGGTTGTCAAAGTTACCGATTTTCGTTGGTAACTCAAAAAATGAGTTATAGAATCCCATTACAGTTTTACCCATGGTACAATAAGAAAGTAGAACAGCTTCGTAAAAATTCGAAATACAGCCCTGAAGCTACAAGTTGTTTTCATATTTTTTTCTCAATTTTAAAATGAGTTAAATAGTGCGCAAAATGAATGAAATGCCTGGATTTCCTTTCAAAAATATGATACAAACTGTTCAATCTTTCAAATTCATGGATAAACAGGTTAATAGCTTTAATGAGCGAGCCGCAATGTATGTGTCTTCCAATCATTGGTTTTGAAAATATTTTGTTTTCATTTTTCAAAACATTAAATATATACACAATTTGGCAGAAGTCGAGCACACTTAGAAAAAAATGTAATCAGCTGGTAGCTCTACCTTACCTTTTTATTGTACCATGGATGCTCCAAATTTAAAATACAAACGCTTTTCTTGGTACATTCTCAATGCAATTATCTAACTAATATTTGAGTTACCGACAACAATCGGTAAAACCATCATATGTTGAAAAATATTAAAAATTATTTAAATTTGTAAAAAATGTTGAAAAACGCTATTAATAATGACCTCCGGATGACGTCATATCAGAATACATATATAAATCTACTTATATTTGAAAATACATTTAATTTTTTTTTTTGACATATCAATGTTTCCAAGCGTTGCTGTATATACCTGTATTCTTTTACCATGGTACATAGCGAAAGTTGTATATTTGCTACTTTATACAACTCCTGCAGTGGGATTCTCTAACGATTTTTTTGAGTTACCGACAAATTTGTTATTGAGAAGAAAACACATACATAAACAAAAAATATGACATATTAGGCCAAGAAAATAAAAAAAATTAAAATCATATGGTATTATAGCCCTACCTTGATATTATTGTACCATGGATGCATCAAAGTTTGGGAACATTGATATGTCAAAAAACTTTAAATGTGTTTTTAAATATAAGTAGATTTTTATATGTTTTTTTATACGACGCCATTCGGAGGTTATTATAATTCGCGTTTTTCAATAATTTTTACAAATTTAAATAATTTTTCATTCAACATTTTCATTTCCAAAATTGTTTTGACAGTTCATTGTTCCAGCAGCTGATAAATAGTAATATAAAACGTGTTTTTCAAGGAATATAGCCAGTTTTAAACAGCATTGAGACAATTACTTTTCATAACTCGATTACATACCATATTGCTGAAACACCCTGCAACTGACAACGAACGCCTTTTGCTTTGATATCCCTCGTTTTTGATGACACACACGGCAACGCTGTCAATATTTCCACTGCATTGGCAACACTAACGGTGTCGGGGTGCAAAATTCATTCTACTCGTTTCAACAAAAAAGGGAGTTTTTTGTTAGTTTGGAAAAGACATTAAAAATTCTTTAAGAACAAAACCAAATATAAATATTATTTAATAAAAAATGGCTCCTACTGCAGGGTAAGTATTGCAAAAAAGAATTATCTACAAACAGTTTAAGTGAATTAGCTTTCGGCTCTGCATGAGGTATGGCAATTGAAATGCACATACAAATTAATCAGGGCGGTAGGTTACTAAACTCTGCTTCTCCGGTTTAATCTATTCGAAGATGGTATGATGAATTAATTAAAACCCACAACGTTCACATTGTTCTTACAAAATATGCATTTTAATCAAAGGAAAACGCCAAATTCGGTGTAAATGTAGTTCTTTGTTTTGCAAAATAAATTGGAACGCGTGGTGATTTTCCCCGGCTTCCTTTTATTGATTTTGCTCTCTTTTTTTTCTTTGCCAAGATGATTGTGTGTAGTATACACGTTGTTGTTATATGTTCTGGAGTAAACTAACTTTCCATTGCGATTCGATTTCAATTTTCATTTGTTATTTTAAAACTGCAATAGCATGAGTTGAAACCAGACGAAAAAAACCAAATCAAAAGTAAATTAACCAAATTGAGGTTATGTTCGAGTCATTTGGCATATTCTCGAATGCCATTTTGATATGTGCTATTCATGAGTGTGTCTTTTGCTGCTGCTACTGTTGTGTTGTGTGGTGTTGTGCCGCTATTTCTTCTGTTGTTCTTCAGTGTTGCCATGACAAAACACAATTTGGTGGCAGAACGACAACAAAAAGGACTAGTTTGTTTACTCATAAAGGGGGGAATTACATTATTAAATTTAATATATGAGTTTTTTTATTTTCATCCTCAAGTTTAATTTATATTTTCCAGTGATAGATTTTTTTGAGGCTTTAGGTTAGGAAGCCTAATATCAGTAGACCTTTTATTTTATAGATTTATTTGCAGATCTGTTTTCTGGCTTTTAGAGTCTTTGTTTTCTGTTGAAAACCTAAGTTATCTATGATCCAGTGTGTATATGGTAGTTATCATGGTACAATGAAGAGAAGGTAGGTCAACTTTGAAAAAATTGCAAGTATAGAGGTCTACCTGTTTGGCTTGTAATGTCAGAAATAGTATCAAAACAATAACAAAAACAAACAATTTGTTGCATTTATTTTGAATAAATAATTTAAAACCGCGGAAACTGATTGAATGGTCAAAATTCCTTTTCAATATCATGTTCTATATATCTCTAAAGGATTATTTCGCTACAAAAACTCTAGATTTTGTCGATGCATGCGTTGAAATGAACATTTTGAAAACACACGAAATTGCATTTTTTCTGAACAATTTTTTGTTATTAAAAAGAAAACACATACATAAACAAATAAAGATGACATATTAGGCCAAGAAAATGAAAAAATTAAAATCATATGGTATCATAGCCCTACCTTGATATCATTGTACCATGGTAGTTATATTGTAGCGGTTATGCATATGGAAAAAAGGTTGAACGTCTATTTATAGAATGGTCTTATCTATGTAGTCAAGTAGTCTTGAGGTCTTCTTTCAGTAAAGGATCATATAGCGGTCGTTCATAGACATAGGATCCGTAGCTGGCGTATCTATAGATGATCATCAAAGATCATCATTATGAACGACTACTAGAAAAATATGGACACGGTTGGTCTCAGAAGGCAATACTAGCGGTGTCGGGGAAAGGTCTTTGTAGAGGGATTCTGGAAGATTTTCTGTAAAATACCTTCTGTAGTTTTTCAAATTATTAAAGACTTCTATGAAATGTTTCGTCAAAATATTTTTCTGGTCTTTTGTTTGCGGAATTCTTTTAATAGGTCTCAGACAATACCTTCAAAAAGTCATGTGCACAGAAGTTCTTCTGTAAGGCCCTCTAATCGAATGTCAAAAATATCATTAGAAGGTCTTCTCTATATAGAAATATTCAGAAAGCCATCTGTTTTTGCGAGACGTTCAGTCTTTCTTTCCATGCAAGAATATAGAAGTTCTACTGTCTATGTGATTCCTTGGTTTAAAAAAAAAAATTCAAAAAAGGTTATCCATTCTTAGAAGTTCTTAAGAAGGCCTTCGTTCTATTAAGTTCTTTTAGATGGTCGTCTGTCACTTGAAGAATTCCTAAAAGGCAAAATTACCTGTAGACGTTTTGTTTATGACCATTTGTATATAGAGGACTTTTAGTAGGTCTTCTCCCTATAGAAAAACAATACCATAACGATTTCACACTCATCTTTTTGTATTTTTTAAAATGTATATTTTTTTCAAATTACAGTACAGTACCCCCACCAGTTTCTTGGGCCCAAAGAGCTGATTTGCTCTATGTCATTATCGATGTAGAATGCAAAGATATTGAACACAGGTAATTATTTTCAAAAAATCACATATATATCTAATTACACTAGCTAAGCTAATAATTCCCCCTTTCACCCCTTTAGTGTTACAGAGAATAGTTTTACGTTCAAGGGCACCAATGCTTTGGAAGCCGATAAAAAATACGAAGTCACATTGAACTTTTTACATCCCGTTAACCCCGAAAAAGTGACGAGTAAAAATATTGGACGATGCGTCGAATTTACAATTTACAAAAAAGAATCCGGTCCCTACTGGAAATCACTTACCAATGACAAAACCAAATTGCACTTCCTCAAAGCTAACTTTACCAAATGGAAAAATGAATCTGATGATGAAGATGGTGCGTATAATAACACACTCTTAAATACATAATACATATATGTTCTAATGTTTTGAATTGTCATTTGTAGATGTTGGCGGCGACAACTTTATGTTCAATGACATGCTTAAAGGCAGTGATATGGGCAACAGATTTGATGATTTCAATGTCGATGATGATGATGATTCAGACGATAATATTCCCAGTCTATCACAGAATGACGAAGATGACGAAGACAATAAGGATGCGGAAAAGAAGGATGAAGAAAAATAGTTTAACAATGAATGTTAAACCTAATCTAAACTCTTTATATATACATAAAACCACAACAACTTCTATTAATATTAATAGCATGAACATTAATTGCTTTTAAATTAATTTTTGATTTTTTTGGGAACTTTCATCTTGGGAAAATACAAAATATGTTGACTACAGAAAAAGAAAAACCACAAACAAAAGAAAGAAAACAAATACACACATACATTTCTTAAAAACAAGAAAACATACCAATCTCTTATATATTATATAAATAAAACACGATATTTATATTTAAATTACTCTCGTAACTAAGATAAATGCTTGAGCATTGTTCAGCAGCAAAGAAAAACAACAACAACTTATAATTAACAAACAAAACAACACAACAATCATTACATCATTTTGCGAACTTGTATAATTCATCATAGATTGTCATTTGAATCAATCTTTTTGGTATCTTTTTTCACATATTTTTAGTTACTTAAATATTCACCTTTTTCAAAAGGTTAATTTTTTTCTTTTAGTTGTTCCGTGAAATTTTAATTTTTTTCTCTTTTAATTTATGTGCATTTCCTGTAAATAAAGGAATACATACAAACATATTTTTAAATTTGCCAAATAGCATTTCGTTTGATGATACTATTTAGTAACGATATGATGATTTAACAGAACAGAGAATATATGAGCCTTCACTGTTAAGTATAAAAGAAATGAATTAAAACGTAAGTGTTTTAATAAGGAAATTTCATCAATAAAAAGAAACAATTGAGAAATGTTAAACGTGAAACCTAACTTGTTGGTATTTTTGAGGAAAAATCAGTTGATGCTGGATGTTTGATCTGTTGGATATACAAAAATAATTTTATATGCACGATTATTGTTATGCTGGCCCTCGAAGGAATCCACATTTATTTGCTTATTGATTTTAAACTAATCTACGGCTTATTAGACTTGGTTTTTTAAAAAAATCTAAAAAAGTAAGATGTTAAGTTCGGCCGTGTTAAATTTTAATCCACACCACCATGTCAATTATAAACAAATCTCAAAAATTCATAAAATACCAATCGATTATGATAAATTCTACCCCATTTAGTTGAAAGTCGGATAGGATCCTCAAAATATCAATAATTGAGTGATACCGCTTGCAGTGGACCTAAAACCTGGATTCAAATTGAATGACCTTTGCGATTATGGGTTTATAACAGCGGCTGAAAATATGACTAGGTTCTTTAAAAACCATTAATCGTATTCTTAGGTCGAATTTTCATTAAACGATAATTTAAATATTGCCAATACTGCTGAAATTTTAAATGTCGCTTTGAAAATATCCAACTTTGAATAAGGGACTCTCACTAAAATTTTTTTTTTTAAAGGTGAGAACCTTTAGTCAGGGAGATATTGTAGAAGAGACGTACATGGCGGGACGCGCATAAGAAATATTAACCGGGTTTGCCATGGAATTTTAATCATCATCTTTCACTTTTTTAACTTTTTTCAAAAATGAGTAAAAATATCAAAGAAACGAGTAAAACTTGTATCTAATTTTGAATAATTATGACAGAAAGCGGGCATAGCCTAAGGACAGTATTTCAGTAGATTTACGAAGCTGTTATGTGTTAATTTTTATTAATTATGTCCACTATTTTCCCATATAGATTATGCGTCAAGTCCACGTCACATATACGATTGACTAATGCTATGATTTGTCAAACATTCTCTTAACAACCATTTCTTGATATTGGCAATGTCAGGTCGTTGCCATAACAACCTGTCAAATAAATATTTTGATTTGCCCGGTTGATGTTTTTGTTTTTCTGACAAAAGATTATTTTACTTTAAAAATAAAAACAATTTTATTCAGTTATAATGGTAAGTTAATCTCCGAAAATTATTCTAAATTGGAAGAGACATATTGAGAGCGATTCCCGAAACTTTGAAGAGGGCAAATGTTGACTTATTGGCAGCAAATCAATAAAGGAATTTTCTATAAAAGAAGTCATATTAATCACATTACTTGAAAGTTTTGTTGAGTTCCTATGTCTCCTTTTATTTACATAGGCAATTAATCACACCTTCTCTATTCATGGGACTAGAAAGTCGACTATCATGAGCAAGTTCTTCAGGACTTAAGGAAATCTTTCAGTTTCTCATATTGAACAAAAGTTTCCAGAAAAAATTGACGACGTTTGAAATTACTAATGTGGTATTCTCAAAACTAAGCTTCATTTCTTGATTGATCTGTCTATAACTTAAAGTTTACAGGAGGAAAAAATCCAACGCCAGAAAATGATTAACATACGCTCATGTATGACCATTCTAGAAATATGGGAAATCCAAAATACAGATATAGCACATATAGATCATTTAGGATTCCTCATGCATTATTAAGGGTTTAAAGCAATTATATTAACCCGCATTCAAAATATTCCCTTTCACTGTAGTCTCGACGATTGGCATTTGTGGCCGAATGGTATCAGGAAGAAGCGGCTATAAGTAAGACATTTACATTATGGTACTACGTGGATGGTAATGCATTGGAAGTGGTAAGTTTACTTTTTGCTATATACAATTATCCAAATTTATATTCATGTATTTTTTGTTACAGTACGATCCAAAGACGAAAAAAATGTTCTTACGACGAACTAAAATGCCGGAACTTACTGAGAAAGATTTCTTTGTGGGCTCCAAAATTAACATTTTCGGGCGGCAATTCGATATTGTTGATTATGCGGATGAGGCTACGAAAAATATTTTGGCAAAATATCGTAAAAGGTAGGAAGCTTTAATGACATTATTTTATTATATCTAAACAACAATTATATTTTTCTTGCAGAACATTCATAATAATCAAAAATAGCATACTTCCACAATTAGGAAAGATATTATGCTCCCTAGTAGAAAGCGACTTTAATATAAGCAAGGCCATGATGGTGCAATTCACAGCGGAACAGATAAAGGCATTTCTGAAAGGCAAAGATGATGTTCAGTCGTCGTATGTGTTGATTTGTAGTACTTAATTAATTTTCGCCAATGAGTACACTTAAACCCCCTGATTTCAGAATTCTCATGAGCCAGCTGTTGTCGGGGCCAGCAATTGGTATCGAATTAATAGCCAATAATGCCATCGAGAAAATAAAATATTGCCAGGCACAGGCCAAGGAATGCATGAATGAAAATTATCCACGTTCTTTGCGCACACTATTCGATAGGGAAGATGTTCGTAATGGCATATATTGTTCGCAAACCGAGGATGAAGTTCTAAGGGTATGCCGTCTTTAAAAGTCTTGTGATATATAGTTTGAAATTTTATATTTTCTCTTATAGGATGCTACTTTCTTTTTCGAAAATGAGCATGGCCTCCAAAATACAGTACAGCTAAATAACTCTACATTATGCATTATTAAACCCCATGCCATCAAGGAAGGTAATTTGGGTAAAATAATATCAGAAATTACTGCGAATAATTTTAAAATAACTGCAATGAGAATGCATCTGCTGGAAAGGGTGAATTGTGCTGAATTTTATGAAGTCTACAGAGGTGTTCTGCCAGATTATATTGTAAGTATTACACACATTTTTGTTTTATTAATTTATTTTTTGTGCTTGTTAGATCGAAGACCACATATCTGGTAAACGTAGATTTATATAGGAAAGGCATATACATTTTCTGAAATATTTAAACCCTGATATGTGAGAGGTGCATACACTCTTTGCTGTTTTTCTGTAGGGAACAGCTGCCCATTTTATAGGAATATATTTAAATTCTGACCTATCGATGATGTTAATTTATGGCATTTTCTTACAATTAACCAAATTCAGGTCATGCTTTCTTTATAAAACTTTAGCCTTTGTCTTTGTAGTCGCCAGCTACTGTATAGCTTTTTTGTCATACATCAGTTTAGGGGGTCAATGCCTATAAAAAAATTTACATATTCAGTAATTCAAGCTTCGGATTAGTAAATCAGATTCGTGAAAAATTAGATCACGAAACTATGTATAATGTTAGTGTTTGCCAAGTCACAAATTATCTTCTATTTTCATCCTAGACCTCCAAAAAAAAACTAAGTTTATAAGGAATCGTTAAAAGTTGTCTTCAGAAACGTAAATGTTTGAACTGGTGCTTTTCTTACTAATAACTGAGCTTGATCCATTAGGTATTTTTTGGAGTACTTTTAAATTTACCATCTTTTTTGCAAACAGCCAATGGTTTCTCAATTGGCAAGTGGATCTTGTGTGGCATTGGAAATTATATGTACAGACTCAACTAAATGCAGTTATGAAGAGTTTCGTAAATTTTGTGGGCCTATGGATCCTGTAAGTATTATCAAATATATATGTTGAAATTTAACATTAATTCCCCTTAATTAACATCCCATTTTATTCTAGGAAATCGCTAAACTTCTAAGACCCCATACACTTCGGGCGAAATTTGGCTCCAGCAAAACCTTAAATGCTGTGCACTGTACTGATTTACCAGACGACACAGTTTTGGAGCTGCAATATCTATTTAAAATACTTAACTAAATCTTAAATAGCTTACAAAATAGTCAATCAATCCGTCCTTAATAATGTAAACAAATTTTATAATTTTTGTATATTTTATTAAAAAAAATATTATCTACAATAAATTAAACAAAAAACAATATATATTTTTGGTATAAAACTAATTAAATAATACTTTTGTCAAGATGGTTTTTATTTAAAAATAAAAGTAATTCTGGGAATAAATACAAAGTTTAAAATGTAATATGCTCTACGCTCCTTAGATGCGTCCGCTCTCGGTCAATGCTCAACGACGACTAACTCATAAACTCATTTTGATAGTTGACAATTCGGCCTCTCCTGACTCTTCGTCCCTCCTGGGCGAACCATCATCAGACTCATCTTTATCTTCGATTTCGAGACTTGGATCACCATAGCACCAGGGCTTCATATGATCGGTCGACATAACACCGCAATATTTCCTTTGCTTCAAACTTAAATCCGGCAGATCCTCTACCAGATAACGATCGTTTCCGATAATTTTCGTGACGATGTATGGTCCTTTATACCGCGCATCCAACTTATGCGATTCTCCTGTAGGCTGCGGTACCGTGTCTATCACCACCAAATCGCCTTCCTTGTACTGAGTTGGCTTGGAATGACGGCTGTCAAATCTTGCTTTCCATTTTTCCTTTTGTTTCTGGATGTTAGCAACAGCCTGCTGTTGAATTACCCTAACATCGAAATTCTCTCTTTCTTCATCACCAACCGCCTGGATAATTCTATTGTAACTGACATCTCTGAGACTAAAGTTGAATATTAAGTCATTTGGACTGAACTTTGTAGTCGCATTCAGCTGCGAGTTAATACTCCACTGTATCGTCGTTGTCTCAGTGTCCCATTCTTTTGTATCACCTACTAGACATTTCAACGCATTCAAAACTGTCTGGTTGATCCGCTCAGCTTGGCCATTGGCTCTTGGTGTTCGGACTGCTGTTTGTACATGTTGTATTCCGTTGTATTCCACAAACTGTTGGAATTCTTTAGACGTGAACGCCGTTCCCTTATCCGATACAATTCTTCGTGGCTGTCCGAAAATCGACATAACTTCTCGCAGCGCTGTTATAACCGGAGCAGTCTTTGTATTCCTGGTTGGCTTTAGCGTCAACCCCTCTTCTCTTATGGCGGTTAGGAACTCTTCTAGTACTTGGAGTCCTTCACTAATCGTCACGCTCGGGATTATCACCTCATCCACATAACTTATGATGTTTCTCCGATGTTTCAACTTACGTATTATTTGGGTTATCATTTCCTGGAAGACCATCGGTGCATTTGTTAATCCGAAAGGCATTACATTATATTCATATAGACCGTCTGGTGTTATAAACGCCGTGAATTTCTTGGATTCTTCCTTGACGTGTATCTGGTAATATCCTGATGTCATGTCTAACGTTGTAAAATACTTATTTCCAGATAACAACGAAAGTTGTTCTTCAACCACTGGCATCGAGTACTGCTTTTTGATGGTGACTTCATTTAATGCTCGATAATCCGTACACATACGACTTTCACCGTTCGCCTTTTTGACCAACAATACTGATGCTGCATAGGGCGAATCACTTGGGCGAATAATACAACATCGAAGCAACTTGTCAATTATGTCTGACAGAATTTGTCTTTGAGAAAATGGAACTTGGTATCTTTTACCAACTACAGGCTTGTCCGTAGATAAACTTATTTCCATTTGTGTATTTTTACACCTTCCAAGGTCTTCAAGGGTTTCAGCAAAACAGTCCTTGAATGACGACAGTATTTGGTCTAATTTTTCCTTTTGATGCTCATCCAGACTTTCTCCGACATTAAATGTACTTGGCATTGTTGACCTCACCTTCAAGACACCATGCTCAATTGTAAGTTTTGTTTGCTTCTTACACAATACATCTCTTCCTAAGAGAACGTCATATCGCATCAAGTCATTCGGCACTACATAAATGGTAGTCATTAAACTCTCCTCGTCGATGACAACGTTAGCCTCAAACATTTCCACCACTTCAACAATAGATCCACCAAAACCTTTCATTCTTTTTGACGTTACTTCCATATCGCAACCCTCTGGAACATTGACCGTAACATCTTTCATAACCGGTGGGCAGTAATCCTTAGACTCTTCTGTCATTGCTGCCACAGTTGTACCTTTACCTTTGCATTGCGATGCATCGTGACCAATCTTTGCACATTTACTACACTTCGGCTTCTTCAATGGTTGTGGGCAACTAGTTGAGATGTGCCCAAACCTGTTACAATTGAAACATTTTACTCCCTTGGTTGGCGCTCCACCTGAGACACTTGCGGTTTTGTCATCCTCGTCATTCTTTGTTTGCTTCCTTGCATACGTTTGTATGGTCAAATTCTCCAACGACCTTAATAATTCACTACATGTCTGCGGGTTCATAGCTAAAAGTGTTCTTGTTAAGCTGCTATCATTGAGACCATTTATGATGTACGACAGTATTGATGCCTCATCTACGCTTCCTCTTTTCCCTATGGCCAACATTGCGTAATAATATTCCACCAAAGACTCATTCGAGTTTCGTTTCCTAGCTATAAGTTCACGATGAATGTCAGCAACACTTACTCGACTTGGGAAATCCTTTAAAAATTGTTGTCTGAACTCTTTCCATGTTTCAACCACTGGTAAAGCATCTATCCACATTTTAGCAACACCACTCATTTTATGATGAACTGCAAACAAAGTTGTTTCATCTGACCATCCATGAAGCCTTTGCAACGTTTCAACCTTGTCAATGAATTGGACTGATGTAACATTTCCTTTAATTGGATCGAAGTCTGGTATCATTACTATGTAATCCTTTAAACAACCAGATGTTCCGGAACCAGATTGTCTTGATATTACTTCAGCTGGAACTTGCTGTTCTGTATCCCTTGAATTTAACCCTGCATTTGACGTAATAGCCCTTTCTGTTGAAAGTGTTGTTAACTGATGCACACTTCTTGCTAGAGTCAACATTATATCCTTTAGCTCTCGCATTTGACTTGTTAGAGAATCATCACCCGTCTCAGCTTCATCAAATCCCTGGAAATCCTCCTGTGACTCTGAATCTTCAACTTCCACTTCGTCATTTCCATTGCAAGCCATGAGTCTAGCAATTTTCTCGGACTTATTTCCTGTTCGTGGTAAGCTTCTTGCCAGTAATAATTTGTCTAGCTCCGCAACCTTTAACGAACTTATTTTCACCTTCATACTTTTCCTTGTGAATTTTCCTTTTTAATTCGTTACTTCAGCAAATCTAGAACTATTCCTTTTTTTTAGAAGCCGCACGCCCTAAAAATATACGTTAACTTTTCCCTTTTTAAACTTCTTCTTCGGGGTTCCCCTCTTTATGTCTTGCTTTCAATCTCCTTGATGTACTATCGTTGTCCTACTCACTCACACTTTTGAGTATACCTTTGTACATTCTCCTTTGATTGATGCTTTCTCCTTTGCTCTCTTTGAGCACGTTACACACTCTCACTAAACTCACTCGAACTTTTGAGTTTAGGTGCCTTTGCGTGGTTTCTCCTTTGGTCGTCGTTGTTGCTTTGCATTGAGCTCTTCACTACTACATCACTTTGACGCCTTAGTTTCTCAGCTCTTTGAGTATTTTTTTGCAATTCTTATCCAAAATGATGAAATTCCTTGTAGATTTCTGTTCTTATCCCACTTCTGATTCTGTCAAGATGGTTTTTATTTAAAAATAAAAGTAATTCTGGGAATAAATACAAAGTTTAAAATGTAATATGCTCTACGCTCCTTAGATGCGTCCGCTCTCGGTCAATGCTCAACGACGACTAACTCATAAACTCATTTTGATAGTTGACACTTTTTATTATAATTTAATAAGTGTACTTTTACTTGTGCTGGGCGTTTCGTCGCTCTGTATATTTTCCGTATGTAACTTTTTGCCATTGACTTCCAGTGGCATTTTCCCAACTGTAATTATTTCCATACCTGAATCCTGATTACTTTCTTCATATTGCCGCAGTTCATAATCGTAGGCAAGATAGGTATATAAAACAATAGCTACCACCATCATAACAGCATAGAAGAAAAACTCATCACTTTGCGTTCGAAACATGTTAAGTTCGGTGATAATGACAACAATTAGATTGCCAAATGCATTATTGAGGAACCATGCTGCAGTTACGACAGATTTCATTGAAGCCGGTGCCTTGGAAACAAAAAAATATATGTTATTAAAGTTTATACTGACTTCAGGGAATAGATTGAAGTTACAAAATTGCAATCGAAACTTTTTTAAATTAAAAAAATTTAATTATCATTTAATTCTCACTTTCTGCTTCTTTTACTAAAAATAACTAATTCAAAATGTTGTTTTGAAATGTAGATTATGTCTGAAAGTAAGTTGAGTTAGGCTGAACTAAAAATATTATCTATAAGGTCCATATTTTGAAATTTCTAAATCACATGGAAGTAGTCGAACGTTTTTCAAAAGTCGAGTTAACAGACGTTTTCACAAAGAAACTCTATTTAGCCGGGTTAAACCAAAGTTTCCAAAAAATTCGATTTTAGTTCCTACATTTGGGGTCCACATTCATGAGTTCGCTTATTCTTCTGACCCATATGGCCCACATACCAAACATCAAATTAGAATATGGATTATGTGTGCATATTTTCCCTCCCTTAAATCTGGCGTGTACTCTACAAAGAGTGAGCGTTTTAAAAATACAAACTTACCTGTGTAAAAGCAAACTGCAATCCTGGTATGGAAAGCAGCAACTCTCCCAACATCATACAAATGAATTGGGGCACTTGCCACATGACATTAACCGATTTATATGGCATCGACTATAAAATACAAAAAATAAAAATATTTCAATTTTAATAATTGTAACCTTAGATTCCATGCTCACAAATATATAACGTTGTAAAATTCCTGCCGACATAAATGACAATGCTGAAAATACACCACCCACTGTAACACTGTGCAGTGGCTTAAGTTCATATTTGAAAAGCCATTTGAGTAAGGGTCGCACCACATACTGCCACAGAGGTATTAGAATGAATAGAAATATTGGTCCCATTGCCTTGGCTTGATCCGGTTGTATTCTTATGCCATCCACAATGGTGGTATTCATAAGCGATGCTTGAAAAGTCCAGCTGGAATCTTGTTGAGCCAAGAGAGCAAAATAAATGGGCAGGGGAAGAAATAGTTTGACTAGCTGCAAAAACACAAAAGGGGGGACAAGCCATAAATACATTTTGAAATGAAATCATTGTTTTGGAAAAGCATCAATGTAATTGAATCACATATTTTCATATGAGATTAAACTATGTACACCGTGGCTTCAATAAGGAAAATGACCTTGGTTTTTTAATATTTCCAGCCAGAGTGGTACTGATCCAAAATTATTGATTTTTAAAGAATTTGCTTTCAAAAACAACGATTAAGGGCCTGTTTCTGTATGACTATTTGAAAGTAAAATGGAAAAGGAAACACTCGTTCCATACGTATTTTTCCGAACAAATAAAAATGAAACATTTAATTTTTAAATTTAAATAAAAAAAAAACACAATGATTGTGTGTTTTTCTTTCGATTTCGCATTTGAATCGTCATAGAAAAACAGGCCACAAGTTAATTTTTGTTCATACCTTCAATACTTTAGCCACATCACTTACGAACGATTCTTCGTAACGTCCAACAGCATAATGCAGCCAATATGCGGGCTTCTTCTCATCCGCCTTGCGACGCCATTTCTTACCCAAGGCATACTTAATACAACCATAGAATTTTATTAAAATACTTTCTTCGGCCAGTTTTTCGGGTCGATAGTATAGTCTTCCCAAACTAAACATTACTGAAAAATTGTTCAAATATACTAATGTTTTGAAATAAAATTTTATTCAATACTTACTCCATGCCATGAAAAACGATGAACCCAGTGTTCCAAATACCGCCGGATAACATTCATTTTTATTATAACAATAAGTGTTGGCCCTTATCATGGGTGGTATTATTTTACTTAAAAATATCCCCAGATAATAGATTAAATAATACAGTGAAAAATATTCGGCCAATTGTTTGGCCTGATCGGGCAATTGAAATTGTATAGCACCCAGCGATGTGACACATGCCCTTGTCGAACCATTTCCAATGGCTATCAGTAGCAGGGAGACGGATACCAGGAATCTAGTGTAGAAAGGAATAGAGGAGTGGGAATACAAATATGTATTAAGTAATGTAAAGTTAAATTATGGAACAAAAGGTGACTTTCGGAGACAAGTTTGAATAATTTTATGTTCGGTATGAAATTTTTATATCCACCATTTGAATGTCAGATAAATCGTCAAAATTCTATAGACAATTTCGTTATATGTGCGCCATAGGTAAACGTGGACCTAAATATTCAATGTCCTGCCACCGGCGCTAGAACCCATTATGAACTGCAAATACCAATTTTTAGACAAATCCTTTGAAAAATGTGGCAAAAATAATCAAAATACTGAATTATGCGGCCGCTATGCGAAAACGTGAACTGACACATACTCTGTTCCACCACAAGAGCTAAAGTCCTTTACGAACTACAAACACTAATTTTTAGAGAAATCCGTCGAAAAATGTGGCAAAAATCATCAAAATACCGAATATCGGGAGGTACCCTTATATGGCAGCTATACAAAAACGTTGACCTATACATAGGTCGCCGCCTGAGTTAGAACCCATTATGACCTACATATATCAATTTCATCAAACCGACCGGTATATCTCATTTTCAATACCAACCATCCTAGACACAATACAAATTGTTCTGCCGAATTTTGAAGCTCTACGTTAAATAATGCGGGCTGTATCGTAATTTCAACAGACAGACAGACGGATATGGTTAAATCAACTTAGAATTTTATGCAGATCATGAATATATATACAGAAAGACTGCTGTCATTTCTAAGCCACTCGTCGGACGTCCGACATTTAAATGTGAATAAATCTTTTGTGTCTTGTACCATCGCTCGATACCGTGATACTGGTAGCGTAACCCGACGTCAAGGAAGTGGACGTAAGAAAACAGCAACATCAGCAGAAATGGTTCGAAAAGTAAAGAAGCGACCTGATCGAAACCCGCGTCGCAGTGGCCGACAAATTGCTAGTGAGCTGAACAAATCGCAATATTCCATTCGGCAAATATTGAAAAATTAACTCGAGGTGGAGCCATTGAAATTCCAAAAAGTGCAAGAACTTATACAACAACAGAAAGAAAATAGACTCAAAAGAGCTAAAGAGTTACTTCGCTTGGCCGAAAGTGGTGAACTGCCGAATTTGGTTTTCTCCGATGAGAAAACATTCGTTGTCCTGCAGTTTGTAAACAAACAAAATGATCGTGTTTACTTGCCAAAGTGGTTAGCTGAACATGTGCACCTTCGGTAGTGTGGGCCACCATAACAGCAGATGGTCGCTCTCCGCTCGTATTAATCGACCGTGACATCAGCCACCCAAGAATGGTTACAAAATGAGGTTCCTCGCTTCATTTCCAGCGCACAATGGCCACCAAAATCTGCGGATACATTCGGGCAGCGCGTGACGGTTCCTTTGGTCATTTGAAGGGCATAATTCGTGCCAAAGGTGACCAATTCGAACAAATCTAAACTTATTCTAAAATTTGATGCTAGTTCCAACATTTTTTGCTTTCATTCAATAAAATTAAAAAAAAAAATGTAAAAATTATGGCGTTTGATTTTTTTGCAGTTTTTTTTATCTCACTCTGTACTGTATGGGACTTATGAAGAATATTTAGGGATGTTATAAACGGAATGACAAAGTTAATATACCCCCCTTCTAGAGAGGTTCGTTTTGGACTAATAAGAAATCTTAAACATTTTGATAGCATACACCTAGACGCACTCAATAGTTTTTAAACTTGAACGAACCCGCATATAATATAAACTACGAACTATTCAATATTATATAATGAATAACGTAGTCACACAATAAATTTGATATAGTATAAATTTGTATTTTTTTTTTTTTTTTGAAAAATTATATCCAAAAATTTAGACGATTTTTTCTTCTTATTTCAAATACTTACATCAATGATACTCCTGCATACGGCAGTGATGTAAACACCAAGAGAATCCAACCAAAGGCATATATAATGTAAAATCCATTTATCGTTCGTACATTTCCTATATAACTATCGGCCAGTATGGCTCCAAATATGGGGCAAAATTGACCAAAAAAGTTGAAAACATGTAGCAGCACAGTAGACAGACTTTCGCTGAAGTATAAATCATCGCGCAAATACAGAGCCAAAATTGCTAAAAAAACAAACAGTTACACAAAAATAAATAAACAAATTTAATAAAACAAAAAATGTCGATGAATTTCTTACAAAAATGATTTTTGTATGTAAAAAAATATACATATTTATTGTTTTTCTCAAGAAGACAATCTTGAGATTGATAATAACAATTCAGGGAAAATATTCCTCGTTTTTATTGGACTGTGACGCAAATGTTGCGAACATAATTTATAGAGTATCCTGATCTTATGACCTATTTTTCGATATGCACGAGTAAGTGGCATTTGTTTTTATTGGGTCAAAATGTAATGCCATCGAACTTCCTTTATTTTTTTCTTTCATCAGATGATCAGCACTTCAGAATTGATGATTGATTTACTTAAGTATTCATCTTAATAAAAAAACGCCAACTGATAATATTCATGGTAACGATCAATGAAACAAAAATTCAGTTAACATTTGATGACGAAATGTCTGTATTTGAAATATGATTTAATGAATAGAAGAACATTGTACCTTTACCATACATACCATACCCACACATACATATCCGCCTTATGGTCCCAGAATCATAATTGGAAATACCTTCAATATAGTCTAACATGGAATTTAAAGAATAAAAATAACCAAAATGGAAATTGCTTGTATGTTTGAAATTTGAAGAGAGTTCAATGCTTATTTCGCTTTCATTGAGAGTTGTGTTTTTCAAAATCTTGAACTCTATTTGGGGGAGGTACTAGAAGAAATGGTGCGATTTCTTCCATATTTGTAACAGATCTTGTGTAGATGGAAATATTGAGATGTACTAAGTCTGAATGAAATCGAATGTACATTTCGTGTTTTATGCGCTTCGTGGTTATTCAAATGTTTGACCCTTTGTGAGGGACAACAGATCTTTTGTTAGTGGAAATAATGGGATGTGTGGAATATAGAGAGAACCGGATGCCTATTTCGGATTCTATAATCGCTTTGGTTATTCAAAACTTTGACCCTTTGTGGGGGAGGTATCAGAGGGAATGGTTCGATCTCCACTATCTTTATAACAGATCATGTGTTGATAGAAATATTGAGATGTGACAAGTTTGAATGGAATTGGATATTATTAATTTCTCGTTTTATGAGCTTCTTAGATATTAAAAATATTTACACTTTTGTGGGTGAGGCCCAGAAGGAGTGGACCGATATATTCCATCTTCACACCAGACTATGAGTCAAAAAAAATATTGTGATGAGTCTAATTTGAAGGTAATCGGACTCTTACATCACATTTTAAAAGAGTTATTGTTGTTTTCGTGGGGTAGGTACTTGATGGAGTGGACCGATGTTGTCCATTTTCGCACCTGACCTAGCACTAATACAAATGGAAGGATTTGCAAAGTTGGAGCAAAATTGGGTTATTATTTCCTTTCTGTGCAGTAACATATATTTTTTTAAATTTTGTACTTTTGTGGGCCAGGTACCAGAAGGAGTGGACCGATATTGTCCATCTTCGAACTCGATCTAAGTTTGATAATAATATTACGATGTATCACGTTTGAACCAAATTGGATACTCCCTTCGAGAGTTACCAGACAGACGGACGGACTGTCATCGCAAAATCAACTCCAAATGTCCTGACACGGATTTGGACCAAAGAGACCTAGGGTCTAAAACCGTTTTTCGATAAGGCAAGTTTTCACCTATTATTATAATTTCGCTCATTTATTAAAACTTTTTTTGAGTTGGTAATTTTTATTATTTTTAGGAATCTCATATTAAATTTTTATATTCGTACATGCAGAACTAATGGAATTATAGGGTTTTTACTTGGGATTGGATATAAATCGACCAAAAAGAAATATGTATTTAGAGCAAATACGTCAAACCATGCTTGATTTTCCACAGAAATTAGGCACTTATATTTGTTGACATCTTCGCAACTAATTGTCTATATATAGGTATATTTTTTTTAATAGCCTTGTTAATTCGGCAAAGCAAATTTCTTTCGATAACTTAAAATGCATTGTCTCGAACAGATTTTTCGATACATGACATTATTTGAGTAAATAAGTGATATGTTGTGTAAAATGGCCTTAAGTAATAATTCCAAACCGTATTCCACATTATACTTACTTCGAATACCATTTGCAGCAAAGGCTTCAAACAATTTCGTCATCAGCACAAAAACAATGGCAATCGGGTATTTGGGTCGACGATGTGAACGTAAGACGGTAACAAGACCATAACCGCCTGGTTTTAGTTTTCCGGTTTTTAGATTTAGGTGTGATGTTATATCAGGTTCATTGTCATCTTTTATTGTTAGCAAACCCAAAGCAGGTAAAGCTTTACGATTCAAAAATAGCCATAGATAAAGTATTACAATAAGGAAAACAATTATAATTATATTTGTCATTTTTTTATCATTTCTTCTGCACCGCCGCTCTACTTACTCTCCTCGCTGGCTAATTGAGAGGCCCGAAACATTTTTTTTTACTTCAAGAAGTGTAAACTAAAATTGTGTTATTTGGTAAATTGTATATGGAAAACACAATATATATGTATAAATCTTCCGTGTTAAAATTCTATTTGAAATCGGCTAGTTGTCTAGAATTGTATTGAAAAGCACTTGCTCTCAACCGCAAATGTAATGAGTGACGGTGTGTCTATGTTTTGAATGGTTGGTTGGCTACAATTGTCTTTGCATTTGGTATCCAATTTCAAAATGTTATGTTTTTTTAAATATTTTTCATTGGGAACGTTTAAAGAAATTCATAACACTTTTCATTTTCTAACATTACTTGTCGTTCTTTTTTTCTGTTTCGTCACTTTTGATATGTATTAATGTTTATATTTTTAATATTTTGCCGTAATTAAACAATAACGTTTATTGTTTTAATTAAAAATCAAATTGTTTATTATTTTCCGTCATGTTTTGCGTATTGCACCAGCACTCGCGCCTAACTAATTTAACAAAAGTTCTCATTTCACTGATTTTGTGTTGGCTGTCGCCTACTGACCATAATCTGTTATTATCTCTTCTCGGTTCGGATGTTAGCAACTTTCATTCGGCTATGAGAATTTCTTATTTACATGAAGCTACAATCTAGCTTAACGAAAGTGGGATGGTATGGGAGAAAATGAATAATAAGATAAGGGAAAATGGGCTATACATAGTAGTAGCTGAATACCTTTTCAATCTACCTCTATCCTTACAACTCCGCGTCCTAATTTATGAAATTGTAGTGGAGATTTAGTTTGAAAATCATTTTAGCTCCATTAAAGTAGCTTAGTTTATTGCTCGCAGGATTAGAATTTCATATCACTTATTTAGTTCAGAAATCGTATTTTTATGGTGATAGGGTTCCCAAACCGAGGCAGTGTTAAATGAAGACATAATGTCAGAAAGAAAAAGATTAAAAGTACATATTCCGCAGTTTTTCAATGTTACAGATTAATATATGTTTACAGTAATTTTGGGTTTATCTGCATTTTTGTTTTTGCTGACCAAAAGCGGTTTTTACCTCCGAGTTACTCTACGCAATGAGCCAAGTCTAATAAAAGACGCAAATTGTCTATCTAACAATAGATCTTATAACCACTGGAAGCTATTTGGTCTGAATTCGGAGAGTTTTTTAGAAAACTACGCAAGCCATCGAATATTCGGATAGCAGAAGAATTTTACAAGTCTTTGTCGAGTGGACAGTCGATATTCTGCTGAAAGGTAAGAATTTCCAAAAATCCTTTATATTTATAGAACATACATTAAGTTCGGCTCTGCCTCCACCATTAGATAAAGAAAACTTGTTTATAAAAAAGTTTCTGAATTCAAACGTGTTCCACTTTAAACTACAAATTCCAGGAAGACCGTTTGCTGTTAAACTTTTCAAAACACCATTAAGTGGGTGAGATCGTTATATGGGTGCCATACCAAAACGGGAATTTCTAAAGACAATTTTATACTTCAAGGATTGTCATCTAGCAAATCTTCTTAAATTCCAAATTTAAAACCATATCGTGGGTAAATGTGACTAGGATTATCAAAATATTGAATAACGGTGGGTATCGTTAACCTACATATACTATGTTCCGCCACCGGAGCTAGAACCCATCATGACCTACAATACCAACTTTTACACAAATCCGTGGAAAAATGTGACAAAAATCACCAAAATGCTGAATATCATCGGGAAGTACCGTTATATGGGGCTATACCAAAACGTGGACCGAAATATATCAGCTCTACGTCAAATATGTGGGATCTATCGTGATGACGGACAGGCAGACAGACGGGCCCTTAAAAGTTTCTTTCTATAAAAACCCCTTGATGGGTCTCTATATTCAGAAGACCACACTTTTATTTCTGGAAGACCTCTTAAACCACTTTTATATACACAAGACATTTTAGGGATCATCTATTTAAAAAAAATCGTTGGAAAGGTCATCTATCTACAGAAGGCATCTGAAAGACCTTCCATTCTATGTATTGAGTGTAATTTCTTTCCAACCGCATTTATCATACACCTCTCCTAAGAGAGATGCATTCTTCATCACTTTTACAAAGCGTTTCTTTTAATATACGTTTAAACGATGCCTAACTGCTCTCATTATTCCCACGATTAGTGTTTTGTGTGTTATCTGTATTTCAAAAAAAAAGTTATCTCGTTCGGGGTCCTCGCTTGCTCTCGCTTTACTTTCATTTCATATGAATTTGTATTTGCTTTATTGTCTGGCTGATGGAAATGCTTGATGTTGGAGCGAACCTCTCTAAGAATATTATTTATTTAACAAAGTAAAAGATGTTATGCAAATACATCTATCTACACACGTACGTATCCACACAAACGTATGTTTTTTATGCATACCACAACTGTGACCAGGTACTCTAATTACAAAATACTAAGATAATTATTTGCAATTGCATAAAAAATGGGCGATAAAAGTAGGCGATGGGTACACAGGTGAAAATTGACTTTGATTAGGGTATTAAATTTCCATAGAAAAGAAATGTTTTTTGTTAATAATTTACCACAAAATGTCAAGCATTTAGTTATTGTAGCAATGGGAAATAAGGCGGTCGATCATATTGAGTCATATCGAAATAATTTGCTTTTATTGCTTAACATAACGGATAAGCTTGTGGTTGCATGCTGGTCTTGTAAGGTAGCTATTTCACTTGGACACCCACTATCCATTGTGTTTCTTTTGAAAGGATATTATGAGAATCTAGGATCTTTAAAGTGTTTCGCCATACCCATTCAAGCAACGGCGTAGGTCAATCACTAAAAAGTTTTATATTTGCAACCGGGAAAACGCCAAAGTATACTTAATAAATAAACTGCATCTTCGTCGAAAATACCGCACTTCATATTGTTACGGACAGTGACGACATCCATGTTAATGCTTATCTGTGAAATTACTGACTACAGTGACCTCTATAACTTTCATTAATATAGCAGTGGGTCGGTCCCTTTCCATCCAAGCATAAGACTTTTTACCACCATGTTATTTTCCGTATTTGATTCTTAATTTTGTTATTCCTCAAAACTGCCCTTCAAGTTAATCACCTATAAAATTTCCAAGACCTTTATTCCATTCTTATTTTCCATTACAATCGCATTGTGGAAGATCTTGTAAAAAAAGATAACCTTTCAGTTATGTCTACCTTTATTCAGAATCACGTCGATAAGAAATGATTGGAAAAGTTAAGAAGGTCGGCTCACGAAAGGGATTTAAATAAAATTGTTTGAGAAAATATAAAGAAAGTAGTAGTAGATAGTGAGTACTGCGTTCGACCTCTAATGTAGCTACCCTGCATATCTACATTAAAGGTAAAGGTGTAAAGGTATTAAGGTTTAAAATAGAGGAGTTTTAAGCAACGGTAAACATGACCCCATCCTAGTACTCTTGTCAAACTTGATACTCCTCTCTGTGGAATCGATTGATCCGAAGCTCAGATAATTTAATATGTATCGATTGGTCAAAGATGAAACATTCTGCTATAGTCTTTATATGCAATATTCCTTTAAGCCAAATAATTCCTATTCCAGACAAAAATATACATTAATCAACTGTCTATAGATCTTTTGGCTTGAGAAATGGTCGGTCTGACTACTGTTCTACTTTCTGAGGACGAAAAGGAAATAAAAAATGACGAGCTTTAGCTTTGCCAAAATCTAATGAAGACTACAACTAAAAGAAGGGCAAACAATCAAAGATTCGAACTCCTTTGACGATGGTCACACTTTAATTGGCCAGGAAATTTAAGTGCATTCGTCTATTCCTTAACACACCCTTGTGATCAGTGTTCTTTATAATGTTTTACAAAGTCCCTTCTGTACCTACCATAATCTCTTTTCCATTTTTAGTCATAGAAGCATAGCGACGTGGTATCTATGTCTTCACATATCTGTAAAATGACCCTCAGATCTTTAACAAGAAGTTGCGCAGGCCTTTTTCTATTTCTATAAATCTTATACAGATCTTCTATGGATTTTACGAGATTTAAATCTGTTGCAAAAGTGAAATATGGTGTTAATCTTAAAATTTGTGGCAACGAATTCTTTGTTCCCGAACTTGCAAGAATCTACTATTTTTGAATTTTTTTTTCAATATCATAATGGGAAAATCGGTTATTGTATTAAAAAATGTATATTCTAGCAGTTCTAGAACAGACCAAAAGTTTATACACAAGGAACACTTTATGCGAAATTATTGTAAATTGATTAAAAAATATAGTTTCAACACTGAACACTCCGAAAAAGTGTCGGTACATCAATATGACTAGATGCTATTTTAAATACCAAAAATCCGGAGAGAAATAATGAATATTAATATGAATGAATATTATTAAACATCTATCTTAGATATTTCAAGCTCTATCCTATTGTTAAAAGACATGAATTCGTCGAATTCCAATATTATACTGATTAACAAATTTCCCTAGGTGCTTTAAATTTCATGCCAAAATACATGAATTAGGTTCTAAAAATTAAGGTGGTTAACATTTTCTTTCCAAACTAATGAACTTTAATTTGTCTTTGTGCGCATTGTCTTTAAATGTCGTATAGGTATATTCCAACTTATCAGTGTTGTTATTAAACATGTTTTCTTATTCAGTTTAGTTTATTTCTTTCCAAGCCCGGCTTTTATTTGTCTTCGCATTGACATGTGACTTTCAAGATAACAAAACATTCATAAATAATAAATCTTCTTTTTGTGTCGTCTGGTAAAGTTTCTTGTTTATTGCTGATAAGGACATAACATCATTGATCCAAAGTCACATGACATACGGTAAAGCATTCCGGATTGTGCCAGACATCCCAATGAACAAAGTTATTGTATATCTGCTTTTTACAGATTCACTATTAAAATTGCAATAATTAATCCAAGTAACATTCAGACTTCCCGACTATGAATTAACAAATCTATTAACCCATTGTCACATTTCTATCTTATTTGATAACGGGACGAGCATTTTAAATCCTTTTCATACGACATATTAGTCTTATTCTATATGCAGAACTCTTAACCTCGTATTAAACCTCCTTAAGGTATAAAAAGTTTTGTAAATAGGAGGACCAAATTCTCGCTTATGATATCGAACTTTAGATAGAAACATAAGGGGTTTAATCGTATGATTATCAAATTAGTTCCTTTTACAGACATTTTAACCGAGTTAACCGAATACGACAATTTGGTCCCTGTATTGAAGAAGTTTCAAATTTCTATATATAAAGATTAAAAATTATTTTAAACGTATAATATTGGTATCTAAAAATGTCCTAACCCCTTATCTAAAACTCATTTATCAAACAAATACAATTAATTTAAAACAAATAACTATTGTATAATTGTATTTTTTAAAAGTTTTTTATTTAAACTAAAATCTTTGAAAAATGTGGTATTCTCTTGTTTCACAAATCAAAACTCTATACTGATGATATACATAAATGAAGACAGTTCGTTTTCGTGATACACGGTTATGAGGGAATGGAGGAAATATTACTAAAACATTAGTACGTTTGGAGATTGAATATCCAACATCGAACAAATGTATATCAAATGTGAGGAGACATTACAAATGAGAACAAGTGGGGCTGTGTTTGTCTTTGTGGAGCGATTTTGCAAAAACCCAATTAAATATTAAGCAAGACAAACATTTCCTTTACACCAGTTTCTTAGCTTCAAAGAAACTCTTCAAATGTCTCATTTGCCAGAAGCCCATACAGACAAGGACGACGGTTTGGGCAACAGACCACCACAAGACACGAGAGTTGGTACTTTCACTGGTCTGACGGAAACGTTCTTCGCGATAACGCTGATAGTTCTGTTCCTTTGTGATTTGGTCCACTTGATCCAACAGCTGACGAATACGCAATTGTAATTCGGTAAGTTTTTCCTTTTGTGCAACGCTGGCATAATCAATGGCATGTTCACCAACTTGTATGTCCAAATGGACACGAAGCTGTGCTCCACTGAACCATGATGTGCTGTTAGAGTACATGCAGATTACATGTTCACCAGGTGTGTGGGATGTGAAAGAGATGCGGCCCTCCGAACTGTAGACACGAGACAAAATGATTTTGTCATCACTGTCACGTACCTCAACATGCATGCCAATACCGGGAGAGGAAGGCATAAAACCATTGGAACGGGGATCATATAACTCCACTTTGTAATTGACTGCAAGAAAGACACATTGATTAGATTAACATTATATCCTTATATTCCAACTATTTCTGGAATAATTACCTATGACAGTGGTCTCATCGGGCACTTCTTCGATAAAACATTTGCGCTCCGTTTCAGCAATGTGGAAGTATAGACCAAATACGCTATTACAAGCGCTTACCAGGACCAACAAGGCAATTAATTGTTTAAGCATTCTGTCGATGTAATATTCGCAAGTTTCGGTGTTTTTTTACAAAATAATTTTAGACCTCTCGACACGTCATGAGAAAAATACAATTCTAAATAGGGTAACGTAGATCGACTGTCATTTTTAGCCTTTGCGAAAACAACCACTCGTCATTAATGTAAGATACAACCCTGTGTTTGATGTCATTAATTTAAAGTGAGTTGCATTGTTAAGTGTCAAAACATATTTTGTTGACGTATTTCATTGGTCAAGAGGACATTGTTGACCACTTGAATCGTTATTTGTTTTCATAAAATAATTAAAAAACCATCTCCATTATGTCACTGACATTTCTAATTGGTTGTGCTACGGCAATTCTTGTGATACTCCTCACACTGCTTTATTTGCAAAAGAAACGACAACCCCAAGGTAGGTGAACACATTGCAACAACAAAAGAGTTACTGCCAACTGAGCTATTTTGCTTGATTTTGTCATTGTTTAGAAGAAAAACCACAACAACAACAGCAGCGTGGAGTGCCCCAGCGTGCCCAGGAAGGAGTACCAAGAAGAGCTCAAATTGTACGCAATCAACGTAATCGTTTGCGACAAAATGCCGCAGCACCTGCCGCTGCTCAGGATAATGCTGCCGCGCAGAACAATGACAGTGATGATGACGGAGATCAGGGAGATATTCCACAAGGTGCCGTTCTGGATGAGAAAATGGGAGCAAAGAAACGTGCAAAAATGGAAGCCAAGGAAGCAAAACGTTTGATGCGCGAACAAGAAATGAAACTACGCGAAGAGAAGAAGGCAAAGGATGCCAAATTGGAGGAGGAACGTAAAAAGGTAGAAGAGCTCGAAGCTGAAGCAGAACGCAAAAAGGAGGAAGCTGAACGTCTGGCTCGTGAGGAACAGGAGCGTCGTGAACACGAAGAATATCTGAAAATGAAAGCAGCCTTTAGCGTGGAAGAGGAAGGTTTCGAAGAAGACGATGAGGAAAAGGAAAACCTCTTGGCCGATTTCATTAAATACATTAAGGACAACAAGGTGGTGGTCTTAGAAGATCTGGCCACAGAATTCAAACTGAAAACCCAACAAACTATTGAACGTATACAAGAACTGCAGGGCAATGGCACCATCACTGGTGTAATTGATGATCGCGGCAAATTTATTTACATCTCCGAAGAAGAACTCGAATCTGTGGCCAAATTCATAAGGCAGCGGGGTAGAGTTTCCATCCAAGAATTGGCCGAATGTAGTAATAAATTGATCAATTTAACACCTGTGGCCACCAGTTAAGCTGGTCGCCGTGACTTCCAATTCATAAGGTAATAATGTAAAATATAAAAAAAAACGTAATAGTTTGTATGGATAGTTAATGTTTTGGTTTTATTACAGTTGTTATATAAAAAATATATATCTATATATTTAAAACAAATGTATTTGTTGTTGGTGTGTATATACACTTTAGGAAAAAAACAAATTTGCTTCATTAACTTTAGCCACATATTTGGGTAAAATCCTATTTCAAGTTACTTTCGTTTTAGTCATCCATATCGTCATAATCATCTTCCATGTCCATATCATCTTCGTCTTCATCTTCACTGGTTTCGTCGGGATCGTTACTTTGCAATTGACATTTGGGACAATTGCATACGAAAATATAATTTTCCTTGAGAATCTGTAACAGAATATTTTTTAGAAATATTAAATATGTTTTGAATTTCTTGCCATTTACCTTTTGTCTGGAATGTCTGCTCCTTTCAAGTTGACACTCATCCAAGTATGATATACAAATCTCTTCACCAGGTTGTATGTCTCTGGTTGCCTTCAATACCACAATATCATTAGAATAGGGAAATGTTGATTGAGCATTTGGAACACAGCTGTGATTAATCTTACTTTGCAGTAGGTAAAGACCAGAACCTTCATTATTTAGGAATTCGCCAGCGACTAAAAACAAGAACAATGGAAATTATTGATGTAACAAGAATGAGGTCTTTATGTTTATACTCACATTCTGAAACTTTATTGTAAATATCATCAATATATTCATCTAATTTTGCTTTGTCTGCCTCTGGCATAGGTAAATCGGAAACCTTTTTCACCCATTCGGCCAATACACTGGTGGCGACACCTTGACTGTTTGTTCCCACCAAACCCATAAGGGTCTTGAATGCTTCAGGTGTTGTGAACTGGAAAAAAATAGTTGTTAAACTTGAACTTCTGGAACTTGGGTTAAATCCGATTATATTTCAAAGAATACACCCGGGCTCGGGGAACAATTGCCGTAATCTAATGGCTACTTTTTGGGAAAGGAGGTACCTACAATTATATACAATGCAGTAGAAGAAAACGAATTCATTCTCGCCATAAGACGAACTAGTATCCAACTAGAACGGGTTCAATTTTCTTTTTGAAAGCCTCTTCGAATTTATAATATATTTTGAAACAGTGGAAAAGAGGGAGTTTTTGAGTACAACACTCAGGACCCAGCCAGAATATCAAAATAACTCTAGTACAGTCTAATGATTAATTTTGCCATGGCTTGTTATTACAATTGTTTAAATTTAACTCACCATTTGAAAATCTTCACCCTGAAAAGCTTCACAGAAGGCAGCGTACAATTGTTCCATTTGCTGCTCGAAATTTTCACCCAGCATTTTGTGATAAATTTGTTGTTCCTTGTTAACTATTAATGCCTGGAAAGATTGCAGAGACTCCAAAAATTCTGTTTTATTGGAAGACTGTTGATACATTGCCATGAGGCGCACCAAAAGCATTATGGTTCCAGTCTCTGGGGGATAATGCATTTTCCTAAAAAAGAAAAATTATAAACTTCCACCTTATACTCACTTATGGAATTAATTTAAACCTACTTCCATATTTCATTTAATCTATTTATGGGATGAGAATCATCCTGCCTATAGTTGCCCATACATCCAACACGATGATATTTCTTTAATGCCTCGACCCGACAATCTTCAGAACAATAACGTATCTTACAATTGGGACAAACAGTGAATTGTTCCAGCCATTGTTTTGTGGGATCGTGTTCCGTAAGAGGCACCACAAGACTGGCATTGCTGGCCAAACGACGTACATTCTCAGTGACCGTTTCCAATGGTCGCATACAATGATCGCAGGCGGCATAACCATATGCAGCATTCCATGAGAATTGACTGGATACGAAAGGCTCCTCTTCGAAAATTGTATCTCCAGCATTGATTAGTTTAGCGGCAACCATAGCACGACCCTAAATTATCAAATGATTCTGTGAACAAAATGTCATGACATTTATAAGGGATTGTATTCACCTTTCCTGGTATATCTTTTATTTCAAAGGAATTCATGTTCGATATTTGCCTCTGTCCTGGAATTCTAATTGTTTTGATTTGTGATTTGTTGGTGCGGGGTCTTGCATGTGCTCACTTCCAAGGTTGATTTAATTGGTGGTTGAGACTATACAAATGCAACTCTGTACAGTCTGGGTCATTATTATTATTATTCACGGCATAAGAATGTGCGGTAAAGCAAGTATAGTTTCTTTCGAGGTCCATATCAGGATAGGCATTAGACATCTCCATTGCAAGTAAGTGGAGACGTAGAGGAATGTAACTTCGTTAGTCGCTGCAAAATTTATGGGCATAATAAAAATATTGGTTATAAAATGTCGGGATGTCCTTTAAACAAAATCGATCCAAACCAAACTCATATTTAAAAGGTAATCTCATTTTAAATTATCATATATATGTGATTTCCCCTAAAATTAAGCTATACAATGGTAAAAATATATATATGTGAAAAATTTACTTTTTATATATATGACTCTAACATGACGTGTAAAGAAAACATAATATCCGCAATTTTAGCATGTATTCTATAAAATTTTCTTTCAAACTTAACAAGATTTTCCAGTAAAAAATTGCAAAAATGGCCAAAATAGCAGATTCTGTCATGTTCTACAATGGAACTTTGAATGAACTCGCTCCTTCGTTCATTCAGTGAATACCACAGCTGCTACATGTATACTGATTTTTCGATCTTGTGATCTCTGTTCATTGACAAATCGTGGTTTTTTGTTTTGATTTTTAACTTTATCACGTATTGCCGCTTTAAATCTTGTTTCTTTCTTATCTCTGTCTGACGGCGGTTTTCTTAAGAGTTAAGAGCTCTGTAATCTGTAATAATCTAAGTTTTTTATTCTAGGCGCACTTCGCGTTCCATCCTAACTTATTCAGCTTTGATTGGAAGTATTATTTCGTTTATTATTTGAAATAGATAAATTTGACGGCACTACAAGACGTGGACATGAATCGGAGAAGGACAGAAAGTAAGTAGAAACGACAAAATATAAAACATTACTGTTTACTCACATTGCTTTGTTTACTGTACTTCTTGAACAAAACAGCCATCCTAATTGATGCCGTCACAATTGGAAGCGCAAATCATATTAGGAGTACCCCAAGAAAGACAGCCTCGGAAGTATGGGCGTACTTTGATAAAATGAGTGATAGCAAATTTGCTAAATGCCGGCTCTGTTCAAAACTGTATAAGACCTGTGGGAATACTTCGAACCTTCTTGACCATCTGAAACGAGCCCATCCGACGCGCCAGAAAGTTTGCAACCCCTCTAATATTGTTCGAACAGCTCCCAAGGGCAAGGAAAAAAGAGAAGGAATGACGCTCTCAGAGCTTTGGGCTTATTTGGAGGATGGAGATGACAAAACAACTATTAAAAACGATACCACCTCTCCACCAAGCAATGATGCGGAATCCAACGATAACAAGCCAAAGAAGGGAGGAAGAAGAAAAACTTCAGAAGTTTGGAACTATTTTAGAAAAGTGAAAGATGGCGATTATGCCGAATGCCGTTTTTGTTCAACAATTTATAAAACCTGTGGAAATACAAGCAATATATTTGACCATCTTAGGCGTGCCCACCCTGCATTTCGGGAAACACCTCTACCAGAGGAATCCGAATCTCAGCCAGCAAAAAGAGCGGGGAAGTCACCTTCAGAGGTGTGGCAATATTTTGAAAAAACAGGGGATGGTAAATTCGCTCAGTGCTGTTTATGTTCAAAGCTTTGCAGGACCAGTGGGAATACTACAAATCTTTTGGATCATCTCAAACGATCCCATCCAACGACTCGCAACACTGACAATGTAGATTCCGACCATCCAACGACTCGCAACACTGACAATGTAGATTCCGACCATATAATAGAAGAAGTTGATAGTAACTCATCGGATATGTGGTCATTTCTTGAAGATGCCTATCGGGATGTAATAGAAGACAATGAGGACACTGATGAAACTGACAAAGTAATTAAAGCAGAAAAGGATCCCCTGCCGCAGGAGGAAGAAGAGGTTTGGGCAATTGAGGAAGTAAAAAGTGAAAATATGTCGACCACTTTTGAACAACTGGAAGAAGAGCTTCAAGAAACTGCTATTGCAGTTGATACAATAGAATTTAAAGATGACATGGAATTTGAAGTCGAAATTGAAACAGAAACAGAAAACCAATCCACAGATGTGTGGTCGTTTTATGAGCAACCACAAGAAGATGATGATTTCGTCAAATGTCGATTATGTTCAAAATATTATAAGGCTATCGGTGGTAGCACAACGAATCTTTTGGATCATCTTAAGCGAGCTCATCCCACATGCAAGGTGGTTAGCGAAGCTAATAAAAAATCTAAATCCGGCAATGGAATAAGGAAGAGGAAAAATGAATTGAAATATAAGAGAAAAACTATATCGGAAGTGTGGTCATATTTTGAAAAGACCGAAAATGGAGAGTACGCCAAATGTTGTTTCTGTTCACGGCATTATAAGACGAGTGGTAACACCTCCAACATGTTTGATCACCTCAAACGTACCCATCCAGAGTTCCGCAAGAAGATGGTTCGTTCTGACAAGGGTACACCAGAGGAATTTTTCAAAAAAGCTGCTGAAAACAATTGGAATCTATTCCAGAAAAGGTACTAAAAAATGAATTGCGAATTGTGTTTTAGGCATTAGAGTAATGCTAAAGATTTTTTAGGTAATTGAAAAGAAAAGATTGTAAAATGATATAGCTTGAGTATCATTATGTAAATAGGTGAAGTCTATATAAAATTTGTTGAACAATAGCTTGACCATTAAGTGAAAGCTTTGACATACATATTATTGTTTTATTATGTAAAAATGTCTTCTCTAATTTATTTTATATGAACCATATCTCTTAATTTAGTAAAAATCTTAATAAAAGCAAGCTAAGCGTTTGCTGGCGAACAAAATATGAAATTGCGTTTTTTTGTGACGGAGGAGATAAACTTTTGATTGAAAAAATGTGTGTGAATATGCGTTTTTAATTGAGGTAAATAGGATAGTGTTCCATGTTAAAGAACTTCTCAAGAAAGTTGAGAAATATATATTGTTTTAATCATGGTACATTATCGATATTCATATCAATATTCATATCAATATCAATATTGCACCATGGTTTTAATTAAAAAATAATGTTTGTCGATTTTTAAGAAATATTTCTAAAAGGACCCTCAATAATGGATTAGAACAAGTAAAATAGTATTCGTCTGTTTGGCCGACAGATGTATATCCCCAAACTTGAGTTATGATTATTCAAACTGTTGACCCCTTATGGGGTAGTATTTTGTAAAGCAAGGTTTAGTATTTTGTAAAGCAAGCGCTTCGCCGGGAATGGGCCAAAATATATCGCAGAGCAATATTCGGGCAGCGTGTGATGGTTTCGTTGGCCGTTAGAAGGCCATAATTCGTGCCGAAGGTGACCAATTCGAACAAATTTAAAGTTATTGTAAAATTTCATGCTGTTTCCGACATATTTGCTTTCATTCAAAAAAATTAAAAATAATGGCTTTTGACTTTGTTGCTGTATTTTTATTTCACCTTGTATTTAATGCATCGATGATATCAAATAGAAAATATTTAGTTATTATTTGATCAATTTTTTTCACGAACGATGTTACCCATTTTCCATCTATTATCGTGAAATTTTAAAGAATATATTTTCAATTTCTTAGTAAATGTTTTATACATTTTCGTTTTTACCTTATGACAAATAAAACACAGCTAATTTTTAAGTTTCAACAATATGTTTTTGTTTTGTTTTATTTTTTTTCTCAAAATGTATTTTCATCAAATGTTTAATGTTGTTGTTATTATTATTATTAAATTATAATATTTAGTTTTTTAGATTACAATCTTTGTTTAATGTTCTCATACTTGTTTGTGTTTTGTTTTTCCGTTTTTGTTGGGTTGTTTGGTTTTTTTTTATGAGTTAACTTTAAGAAACTACATTCTGTTTTATATTTTAGCTTTAAGTTAAATATCACTTAATAATTATTAATAATAATAGTAATTATTATTAGATGTAATAGTTTTGTATATATGTATGTATATATATATACGCATTTTAGGGTTTTTTTAGTTTATCATTTTTTTTAAATTGTGGTTTTGAGTTATGTATGAAAGAATTTAGTTTTTTTGTTTCATTTAGAAGAGTGTCTTGTATAAGCCTTTTTCTTTTTCTTTGTTTTTATTTTCTTTTATATAATAATAATTTTAAAAAGAAGAAAATATATTGTGTTTTTCGTTTTGTTGAATGGTGTTTTGTTTTCTAAAGCATTTTTTTTATTCTTCAATACAATTGAGTTTTCTTCCTGCCATAAGCCATGTGTTTTTTTTATTTTGGGGAATATATGAGGTGGAAATTCTAATAAAGGGGTTTTAATGCAAATAAAACTATTTTTAACATATTTGGCTTTAAGTTAATATAAATCAATGATCATATTTATTATAATAATTATGAATATTTTTTTTTGTTGATCCACTTAACATAGAGAAAATAATATTTATATTAAATGTAAAATAATAATAATAATAAAACAATTCACAATCATTTTTTCGTTTTAATTTTCTTCCTCTTTTCATATATCAAAATTGAATATTTTTTAATTATTATTGGTAACGCTATTTTGTTTCGAACCTTTTGTTTTAATGCTATTAAATAATTTCTTTTAAAAAAAATCATATCGATCTTTTTATTAGCTTTAATTATTTTTTATTTTATTATTTGAAAATAAAATTGGTTGCAGTGGTGGAAAGTAAACTAATTTTGGGAAAACAAAAGGCCAAACCTATTAATTTAAATAACATGCTATCCTACCCTACTCCACACAATAACGGAGGATCCAAAATGTAAATCATAGAGAAGTCATCTTTAAAGCCTCAATCAAAGTTAAGCTCATGAAAAAAATCGGGTGATATTTAAAATACTATTTTTTCAAACAGTATTATAAAAAATTCAAATATTTAATTGAAAAACTCAATTTTTAATTCATAGGAATTTAGTATTTTTGTTAAAGGAAGAAATTTTTTTAGGGAGAATCCGAAATGCCAAACTAGAATAATAAAATCATGTGACAGTAATGAGACATTAAAATTTTTGAAAATTTGGCGGACTTTACTTTGGCATGGACCTAAAACGATATTTCTTCCAGGAACTAAGATAATATTTTTTTCCAAAAAAAAAAAAAAAAAACTCCAATAAATCCACAGTATCAAAACAATACAACAATACAATATAAACAATCATCATGAAATGCCAAACTTGACATATGTAATAAAATATGACCAAAAGCCATTATATTTTCTTCAAATTCTGAGGGCTTTACTTGGCCCTGGACTTAAGTCGATAATTTTTCTGCAAAAAATTTAAAATTTATAACTAATGTAAAATATCAAATCAAAGCTATCATCATCATACTTAAAAAAAGAGTTTACATTTGATTAGGTTCCCAAAAAACTCATGCTTTATTCCCTGATATTTAAACGCAATTTTTAGGAGAATTCGAACATTTTTAGAGAAATCGCAGGACTTTACATAAACATGGATCTTAATAATTTTTCTAAGAAGTCTGCAAATTAAGCAAAGTATAGATTATATTTAACCAAGAGTTGACCTATCAACTATAATACTCAGGGCTCAGTCCCTCAATTATTGAAAATTAGAATGAAAGTAAAATAAGTTTTTGGGAAAGAATGGGAAAAATAACACTTACTCCAAATTTCTCTTCCCTCTTGCAGTCTTCTAGCATTTAAATCGTCCAGATTTCTGCTGAAATTTAATTTCAATTAGAATTTTTAACAATTTATTGAAATTCAGCAAAAAAGGCAAAAACTTTTGTACCTGCCTTCTGCTGAAATCTACTTCCAATGTGAATTTAATTTTAATATTTCTCTTTGAAATTTTGAACGATTCATTGAAATTTAGCGCCAGAATATTTTATTTAAACATCAACATCAGGGTTGGTCTCGATCTGCTTCTTAATTCACTAACACAAAATACCAAATAAAAAAGGGTTTTTTTCTGGAAAGTTTGGAAAATAAAGAGTATTTTCTTCACCTTTCTCCTTCCTCTAGCTGTCATAATTTGTATTGGAATTTGAAAATGTTTATTAAAATTTAGCGGAAAAAATTGTATCTAAACATCAACATCAGAGGCCAAGATCCAACTTTTAAGTCACTAATAGAAAATGACAACCGAAGAACACTTTCTTTACATTTCTTCAACAATATGAAATGCCAGCACTTGATATAAGAGGTCTTGCCTTTGGACTAATTAATTTTAGCGTTTCCCATCTAAACCTTAACATCCGTGGTCTCAGTCTAAGTCACTAACACAAAAAAAAAAACAAATAAAAGGGGTTGTTTGAAAAGTTTGGAAAAAAAAAGAAATTTCCCTCCCCTTTCTCCTTCCTCCTGCAGTCTTTCACTAATATATTAATATAATTTTGCATTTAAAAATTTTCTATTGGAATTTCAAAATATTTGATAAAACTTTGCAGAATAAAATGTATTTAAACATCAACATCAGAGAGAAGATCCGACTTTTAAGTTGTTCATAGAATAAAATCAGCCGAAGAGTTTGTGAGTTTTTGGGGAAAGTTGCAGTAGGTGGAAAACTTTCTTCACATTTTTTTACCTTTTAAGCATATTAAATGCCAGCCTTTGAGCTTTGAGATTGGGTCTCTTAACCTCTGGACTAAGAGACCTAGACCTAGGTAGCCAGACATATATCTGGAAATGTTGTATTTTATTCACGCTCGAAGCCATTTTTGGAAGCTCTTACTTATCATTTAAAATACTTAAACCAATTTTAAATTACTTTGACTTCCCATAAAATTAAAAATTTGCTTTCTAGAATTTTCATCAAAAATTAATACAACATTAAAAAATTAAGTCATTAAAAAAATTTAAAAAAATTAAAGGATATATTTTTACTTCTGAATCGTTAACTTAGGTTTCTTTTTGGAATAATGAAAAAAAAAATAAATAAATAAATAAAAACGTAGAAAATTAATCATTCAGAAAATTAAATGGAAAATCATTTGGAAAAGAAGGAGTCATTTGTTTCCGAGTTTGCTTCCCAAAGTCTCAGTTGTTGAGTGAAAAAAGGAAATGTCTGGTTTTTTGCGAAGTCTGATTCATAAGGTGTTATTCAAATCATCGGAGGGATGGGATTAAGGGGTACATTTTCCCTTCTGAGTCGTTAACTTTCTTTTGAGAAAAATGAGAAAGAAAAATAAATAAAATAAAAAATAAAAAGGGTTTCTATCATGGACCTTTATCTTTGTAAATCAAAAATGTCTTTTTTTAGTTTTGGAGAAGAAAGAGTCATGTGTTTCCTATTTATTTCCAGTCTTCCACAACGACAAACCCTAAGTTATTGGGACAAAAAATATGAAAATGTCCAATTTAATGTTTTTTCTGAAGTCTGCTTCAGTAGGTGTTATTCAAATCATTGGAGGGATGAAATTAAGGGGTACATTTTCCCCTTCTGGGTCGTTAACTAAAGTTTCTGTATAAATTTAGAAAATTAATTATTTTGGAGGTCTTCATTTCTGGTCATGCATAGAAAGTTCCTATCTTTTTCAAATTAAGAAAATAAATCGTTTTGGAAGACTTTCTTTTAGGTCAGGCATTCGATTTTTTGGAAGTTTCGAAGAAGGTAGATCCTATTTGTTTCCTATTTATCTTCCCTCTTGCAGTTTTAACCACATTTTCACTTCATTTCACTGTGGAGTAAAAAATCTGGAAATGCCTTATTTATTTTTTTTTTTTTATTTATAATGTTTTCTCTTCGAAGTCTGGCTAAAAAAAATTGTATTTCAACCCATTAGAGAGAAAAAGTCAAGGGACACATTTTCTTCCGCTGAGCCATAAATTTAGGTTAATCTTTAGAAAAAATGCGAAAAAATACATTTAATTCGGAAAATTGATTGGCTTGGGAGACATAGGAAGAAAAATTAAATTTCGTCTGCATTTTGAAATTATTCTGTATTTTAATTTTTAATATTGCAATCAGGTGGAACTTACTTTTGTGACCTTATTGCTTATAGAACAAATTATTTTTAATATGAAGTTCGGCTTTTTCCTTTACATTTCCTTTCTATGGAAAACTTGTTGATGGCAGATACTATTTAAAATTTTCAGAATATCCCTGCCATATTTACTTAAATTGCTTTTCTATAGCAAAAATAAAAAAAAATATTTTTAAAGACCACTTTCATTTGTGAAATATGCCTCCATTTAATCAAAATTAATTCAACTTTTAAATTAAAATAAAAGCTTTAAGAAGATGCTCATTTATTTTCAAGATACATCGATCTATTTAAGCTAGAATTTTCCATCATGAAAATACTAACTTTCACCCACATTCTACTGAAAAAAACCGGTCATAAAGTGGAGTAGCAGCCTATTGTTACAAGCTGCTTCAAGCAATATCAAAAAGGGTGAAAATTCCAAGTTAAATTTTAAATATGCTGATCTCATCCATTGTGGTCACTTTCAAGGTTAAAAATTCAAAAACGTCAGCTAGACAAAAGATGCTAATATTTTAACTTCAATCATTTTTGAAGGTTTGATTTTTAGTTTCTCATAACTTTGGGATTAAAAAAACTGGCAATTTTTGAAATCGAAAAAAATATATTCTAAATTCTAAAATCTCCAGACAAAATACAATTGGTACCGATTATTGAAACAATCCGATTTTCATGTGAGAGTGCTTTAAGATTTACAATGGAAACATCAACATTAACTGATAACGATTCCATATGCCCACTTACGACACAGGTAAGCAAATGATTCTAAACATACTAACGTCTTCATTAGCACTTCACCTTCTCTTTTCATATGAAAATGATTTGAGACCCCTAAAATCATGTTATGGTCAGTGAACGACATCATTCGCCCACTTAAGGTCCAGGTTCGCAAAGACAGCAAACATACCAATGTCCTCACTAGAATTTCTTCTTCTCTTCCTTTCAAATACATCAGAGTGAAGACCCGACTTTTAAGTTGTTCATAGAAAATATCAATCGAAGAGTTTGTGAGTTTTTTGGAGAAGTTGGAGTAGGTGGAATATTTTCTTTACATTTCTTTTACCTTTTAAGCATATTAAATGCCAGCCTTTGAGCTAAGAGACCCAACCTCTGGACTAAGAGTCCTAGACCTAGGTAGCCAAACATATATCTGGAAATGTTGTATTTTAGTCACGCTCGAAGCCATTTGTGGAAGCTCTTACTTATCCTTTAAAATACTTGAACCAATTTTAAATTACTTTGACTTCCCATTAAATTAAAAATTTGCTTTCTAGAGTTTTCATCAAAAATTTTTAAAAAATTGCCTCCAATTTTTTTTCTTCAGTGGTCTAGGCCCAATATGTCCTCACTAGAATTTCTTCTTCTCTTCCTTTCAAATATGGATCAATTTTATATAGGTTGATTTCAAAACAATTCAATTATTGGATATAAAGTTCTAATATGATACATGTGCAGAATTTGACCTGTGGTGGTGACATTAAATAAATGACTTTCACTCAAGCTGAAAGTAAAGCGATTATGGGGTCAAATATTTCCCACTTTCTTGTTGTTGTGTGTGCGGAATAGGGTAGGCTACGCAAACAAAAGAAAAAAATATTACAATTTACAAGACCTACAATAAACAAAAATCAATTGCTGGTGGTTGTGGTTTCTTTTTCTCTTTTTTGTTCTATTCTTTCATTTTAATAAAAATAAATTACATGATTTGTTTTTTTGTTTGTTTAAAAAAAGGGTGTTACCTTTTCGATATTATGTTTTTTCTTTTGTAATTGTATTTGTTTTTTAATTGTAAATTATAAATTCCTTTGCACTATAGTTATAGAAAGTTAAAATTAAAAACAATAATCACATAACGATGCATAACGTAACGATGATTTGTATTTTCTGTTCAAATTTTCCTCTTCTTCTTCTTCATTTACTCACTAACCAGACCCATTTCACGGGCGGCTGTGGTCTGTGTTAAAGAGGCAGCTGTTGTTAATTCTGTTGCTGCTGCTTGTGTTGTGGCTTCATCTGTTGTTGTATTGGTTTCGGATATTTTTAAATTATCACAAGTACCGCTTATCACATCCTTAGCATCTTCATCGTCGTCCTCATCCTCTTCATCACCACCACCACCACCATTGGTCTGAGTAGTGGTGACTTCATCTTCCTCAGCCTCATCGGCAAATGATATTTCTCCTTGATTGGCGTAATTTGAAGATTTACTCGCCTGTTCGACAACAATTTGTTCTGGCGCTGCCGCCGCCGCTGATGAACTGTCCACAGCATCATGTTGGCTATTGCTTGCCGCCGTTGCTGTCGTCTCTTCTTCGGGAATATCTTCAATTATACTACGACTACCCACCGAACCAACCGAAGGTGATTTTTGATCTGACTCATCGTCGGTTGTGGTATCTTTACGTTGTAGCAGGGGATCTGTTGCCCGCAACGAATTGTCGGAGCCACCAACACCTTCGCCGCTTGGCCGCAACACCAAATACAAGAGAATATCCGATAGCGATATAATACCAATAACTTTACGATTTTCATCGACCACCACCAAACGATGCACCTCTGCCCGGACGATACGCTCCAATATGGTGTAGAGTGTCTCATCAAGATTACAACATTGAACACCCTCAAACCATTCGTTGCGATGTTCGTTTGCCTTGCGCAGCGAGACATCGAGATCGTTATATGTTTTTTCTGCAGCCAGATTCTGAAACGAAAGGAAGGAAGGAAAACTAAATGGTGAATAAATATTCAAAATGGAATGGAATTTTTTTCGGGAGAAAGAAGTTGAAAAAAGGGAAAGGAAGTCATCGGAAAAGGACCCCCGTAAGGAGCTCTTCTCTGGTTAGAAGAGGAGCTCTTCTATGAATAGAAGAGGAGATCTTCTATGAATAGAAGAGGAGCTCTTCTATGAATAGGAGAGGAGCTCTTCTATGAATAGAAGAGGAGCTCTTCTATGAATAGAAGAGGAGCTCTTCTATGGATAGAAGTGGAGCTCTCCTATGAATAGAAGAGGAGCTCTTCTATGAATAGAAGAGGAGCTCTTCTATGAATAGAAGAGGAGCTCTTCTATGAATAGAAGAGGAGCTCTTCTATGAATAGAAGAGGAGCTCTTCTATGAATAGAAGAGGAGCTCTTCTATGAATAGAAGAGGAGCTCTTCTATGAATAGAAGAGGAACTCTTCTTTGGCTAGAAGAGGAGCTCTTCTATGAATAGAAGAGGAGCTCTTCTATGAATAGAAGAGGAGCTCTTCTATGAATAGAAGAGGAGCTCTTCTATGAATAGAAGAGGAGCTCTTCTATGAATAGAAGAGGAGCTCTTCTATGAATAGAAGAGGAGCTCTTCTATGAATAGAAGAGGAGCTCTTCTATGAATAGAAGAGGAGCTCTTCTATGAATAGAAGAGGAGCTCTTCTATGAATAGAAGAGGAGCTCTTCTATGAATAGAAGAGGAGCTCTTCTATGAATAGAAGAGGAGCTCTTCTATGAATAGAAGAAGAACTCTTCTTTGGCTAGAAGAGGAGCTCTTCTATGAATTGAAGAGGAGCTCTTCTATGGATAAAATAAGAGCTCTTCTATGGATAAAAGAAAAGCTCTTCTATGGATATAAGAAGAGCTCTTCTATGTATAGAAGAGAAGCTCTTCTATGGATAGAAGAGGAGCTCTTCTGTGAATTGAAGAGGAGCTTTTCTATGAATAGAGCTGTTCTATGGCTAGAGGAGCTCTACTATGGCTTATGGGTAGAAGAGGAGCTCTTCTATTGATAGAAAAAAAACTTCACAACAACAAAAAATCGTCTTATACTTACAATAACATCAAATTTCGCATAAATATCAACTAGACGGCCTTCAGCATCGACCAAAGGTAAGGCTGAAACTCTTCTTTCGACGAATTTCTTTAAAGCTGTTAATATGCTGGTATTCTCATCGGCTGTTTCGATATTATCGTATGTGCCAATTTTTAAATCACGTAATTTCTTTTGCATATAAGAAGGCTTGGGCAATTCATTGATCTGCAGGACAAAGAAGAAAAAGGCAATTATTAAAGGAATTTTTAAGGGGGCGAAGATCACAGCAACTTACATATAAAAAGAGGAACCTTAAGATACGTTTATGTGTCAATATGTAGAGAACATTGCCCGTCGCTGGATCAATGACAGGTAATCGATGTATACGATTGTGTATGAGTATCTTAATGGCATCATACAGTGAGGCATCGGGGCCAATGCTAACCAATGGCATGACTTCTTTGTGTAGGACACCTAGGAACAAAAGAAAAATTATTATTTTTTTTATTTCATTTTAAAATTTCAAATCTTCACTACTCACTTCTCCATGTGTCCAATTTGTGCTCCTCCAATTGTTCCATTGAGGCATTCGGTGATTTGTAATACATTCTCAGAATTTTAATGAAATCCGTAATGGTCAACATTCCCACGAATTGTTGTTTCTGTGAATCCCATAGCGGTGCGGCACGTACCCCATTATAGACCAGGGCATAGAAGGCCTTTTTCACCAAGAGCTGTGTATCGAAGACTACCAATTTGGCTGAGGTTGGTATTAGATCGTAACATTTGTGAAAACGGAAAAACTTGACGAAAATTTGGGAATCATCTTCTTCTGCAAGGAAAAAAAGAGGAACAGAAATTAGAAATTTGTCGAAAATAAAAAAAAAATAATTTTTAAGAGCAAAATATATGACATTTTTCTATGGTACATATGAGATATAAAGATTTCTTTTGTTCAGAGACTCCCAATGAAATTTGATCTAGAATACTTCTTCCTTTGACACTGACCTCAAAAAATTAAGAATAAGGGCAGATATTGGTTTAGAGAGAAAACGCGTTAAATCAGCAGTAAAAAACGTCAACACAAAATTATAAAATTTTTATATAAAATTTACATTAAATTTTCCTAAAAACTACTATACCTAGATATATGGTTTATTCTGAGATCTATAGTGAAATTTTGTGTAGAAAATTTCTGCTTTTGGCACTTTTTGTCTAAAACACAATTTTGTGGTACTTTCAGGCCTGAACTGAAAATAAACAAGGAAATATGTTATCAAAAAACATGAGGATGAATTTTTGAGTTTTTTTTAACAACATTGATGCAAATATTTTCTTGATATGTAATGGAAATTGAGATTTCTTTTCTTCGGTGGCTTATAGTGAAATTCGGCGAAGAATATTTTGTTCTTTAGTTGCTTCCTTCTAAAGTGAAGTATTAAGGCAGATTTTGGCCTAGAATGAAACCCTGTTAAATTAGAAATAAAAAACCCCAACAAATAATTTTCATTTGCAATATAAAAATTTTGAATGTAATTTTCTCAACGAACTATTATACCTAGATATACGGTTTATTCAGAGACTTTTAAAGAAATTTTGTGCAGAATATTTCTTCCCTTGACACTTTTTGCCTAAAACCAAATTTTATGTTACTTTTATGCATTCAATCGAAAATAGACTGAGGAAAAATTGATAAAAAAATGAGTACATTTTTTGATTTTTTTTGACAATATTGATGCAAATATTTTCTTGATATGTAATGGAAATTGAGATTTTTCTTCTTCGGTGACTTATAGTGAAATTCGACGAAGAATATTTTCTTCTTTAGTTGCTTCCTTCTAAAGTGAAGTATTAATGCAGATTTTGGCCTAGAATGAAACCCTGTTAAATTAGAAATAAAAAACCCCAACAAATAATTTTAATTTGCAATATAAAAATTTTGAATGTAATTTTCTCAAAGAACTATTATACCTAGATATATGGTTTATTCGGAGACTTGTAGTAGAATATTTCTTTCCTTGACACTTTTTGCCTAAAACCAAATTTTATGTTACTTTTATTCTTTTGGAATCGGGATATGTCATCGATTTTTTTGGCTTAATTAATTCAAATATTTCATTGATATATAATAAAGATTTGATGACCTATAGTGAAATTCGACGAAGAATAATACTGCCTCTGACATTATCCTTCTTAAATGAGAAATGATTCTTTGTAGGAGAATTTTGCATAAACTCACATAAAGTACAATTTTAACCCTAAAATGCATTTTCTAATGTTTGTGAATTTCTGGCATTTAGGTAAGATATGGACATTTGATGTTTTTTGGGACCTGTAGTAAAATATTACGACAAATAATTTTGTAGAATATTTTAACTTGCTACGATGCCGTTTAAAGGGAGTTATAACCATATTTTCAAAAAAGGTCCAAAAATACCGCTTTTGGTAACTCGCTTCGGGGGTAAACCTTTCGACCACAATAATCATCGTATTGTAATCAGTAATATTGCCAGGTACACTATACACCTAAGATGCGACCATTCCAAGGAATCCTAATCCGAAAATTTCCGAAAAATTGTGGAAGAGGGGGAACTTGTCCCCCTCTATTTAGCTAACTTAACGATGAGAAATTTTAAAACGCCAATATGAGTGCCCACTCTTTTTAGCTCTACTTCATAATCTGCTGAGATATTCCTGTAATTATTGAGAATTTTGAATTTTGTCTACAGAAAAAGAAAATTTATAGAAAATTGTTCTATAAAAAGTCAATTTTGCAAAGTTTCTCTGTAGAAAAATTAAATTCTGCAAAGCTTTTCGGTAGAAAGCCTCAATTCAGGGAAGTTTTTCGATAGAAATCATCAATTGAGCAACATTTTCTATGGAAAAATTCAATTATGGAAAATTTTTTCTATAGAAAAAAAATCAATTTTGGAAAATTTTTTCTATAGAAAAAAAATCAATTTTGGAAAATGTTACTATAGAAAAAATTCAATTCTGGAAAATTTTTCTATAGAAAAAATTCAATTCTGGAAAATTTTTCTATAGAAAAAAATTTAATTCTGAAACATTTTTCTATAGAAAAAATTCAATTCTGGAAAATGTTTCTTTAGGAAAAATTCAATTCTGGAAAGTTTTTCTTTAGAAAAAATTCAATTCTGGAAAATGTTTCTATAGAAAAAATCCAATTCTGGAAAATGTTACTATAGAAAAAATTCAATTCTGGAAAGTTTTTCTTTAGAAAAAATTCAATTCTGGAAAATGTTTCTATAGAAAAAATCCAATTCTGGAAAATTTTTCTTTAGGAAAAATTCAATTCTGAAAGTTTTTCTTTAGAAAAAATTCAATTCTGGAAAATGTTACTATAGAAAAAATTCAATTCTGGAAAATGTTACTATAGAAAAAATTCAATTCTGGAAAATGTTTCTATAGAAAAAATCCAATTCTGGAAAATTTTTCTTTAGAAAAAATTCAATTCTGGAAAATGTTACTATAGAAAAAATTCAATTCTGGAAAATTTTTTCTATAGAAAAAAAAATCAATTTTGGAAATTTTTTCTATAAAAAAAAAAACAATTTTGGAAAATTTTTTCTATAGAAAAAAAATCCAATTTTGGAAAATTTTTTCTATAGAAAAAAAACAATTTTGGAAAATTTTTTCTATAGAAAAAAAAACAATTTTGGAAAATTTTTTCTATAGAAAAAAAAAACAATTTTGGAAAATTTTTTCTATAGAAAAAAAACAATTTTGGAAAATTTTTTCTATAGAAAAAAAAACCAATTTTGGAAAATTTTTTCTATAGAAAAAAAAAAAACAATTTTGGAAAATTTTTTCTATAGAAAAAAAACCAATTTTGGAAAACTTTTTCTATAGAAAAAAAACCAATTTTGGAAAATTTTTTCTATAGAAAAAAAACCAATTCTGGAAAATTTTTTCTATAGAAAAAAAACCAATTTTGGAAAAATTTTTCTATAGAAAAAAAAACCAATTTTGGAAAATTTTTTCTATAGAAAAAAAAAAACAATTTTGAAAAATTTTTTCTATAGAAAAAAAAAAAACAATTTTGGAAAATTTTTTCTATAGAAAAAAAACCAATTTTGGAAAATTTTTTCTATAGAAAAAATTAAATTTTATAAAATTTTTCCATAGAAAAAATTCATTCATTTTATAGAAAAAATAGGAAAAAATCAATTCTGAAAATTTTTTTTCATAGAAAAAATTTAATTCTGTAAAATGTTTCTTTCTATAGAAAAATCGAATTTGGCGACAGTTTTCTATAGAAAAATCGGATTTGGCGACAGATTTCTATAAAAAAATCAAAATTAGTCACATATTTATATAAAAAAAATTCAAATCAGCTTAATTTTTCTATAGAAAAATTGAAATCAGTATCAGAAATTAGCAAAATTTTTGTATAGAAAAATCGAAATTTTTGTAAGAAATTAGCAACATTTTTCTATAGAAAAAAAAAACACATTTTTTTTTTTATAGAAAAATTCAATTTTTCATTTTTCTATAGAAAAATATAATACGGCCACATTTTTCTGCAAAAAATTTCAATCCGGCAAAATTTTTCTATAAAAACAATTCAATCCGGCCACATTTTTCTATAGCAAAATTCAATCCGGCCACATTTTTCTATAGAAAAATTCAATCCGGCGACATTTTTCTATAGGGAAATTCAATTCGACCACATTTTTCTATAGGAAAATTCAATTCGGCAACATTTTTCTATAGAAAAATTCAATTCAGCATCATTTTTCTATAGAAAAATCTTTATCAGCAAAATTTTTCTAAAAAAAATTAAAATCAGCAACATTTTTCTATAGAAAACCCGAAATCAGCCACATTTTTCTATAGAGAAATTGAATTCGGCGACAGTTGTCCAAAAAAAGTTCTATTCGCCCACATTTTTCAATAGAAAAATTCAATCCGGCACATTTTCCATGGAAAAATTGAATTCAGACACATTTTTCTATAGAAAAATTCAATCTGACGTCATTTTTCTATAGGAAAATTCAATCTGACTTCATTTTTCTATAGAAAAATTCAATCCGGCCTCATTTATCTATAGAAAATTTGGATCAGATCACATTTGTTCTATAGAAAAAAAATCTAATCCGACCATATTTTTCTATAGAACAAGTTTAAAAGTTTAATCCGACCACATTTTTCTACAGAAAAAATCGAAATTTAATGCAATTCTGCCAAAATTTAAAAAAATAGTTAATTAATAGTTTTAGAACTGTAATTTGGTTATTTCTTAATCAAATTCTAAATCCTGAGTTCCCCCTTAAATCTTAAAATTCCCCCTCTCCCCATCACGCAACTTACTATTCTGAACACTTTTCTTTAGGATATCGGCCAGGCAGCGTTTCCACGCCTCCGATACATGTTCGAACTCTTTAATACTCTCTAGCGGATAAATGTCACACCAGCTGTCTTTCGAGGCTGAAGTCGTACCGGCACCGAGTACCAAACGACCGGCATGATTGGAATAGAAGTGAAGTTGTAACATGCGGACTCGCGGGCAACGGATGCGACAGCGGCAAGGATGGCGTTAGTGTGTCGCGGGTTTGTTTATGGTGTTCTCGTTGTTGTAGCTGTAGCTGTTGTTGTTGTTGTTGCTGTCGATAATGATGTTGTACGGCAGCAGCTTGAGCGGCGGAAATCAGTTTTTGACGGAGGCAAATTTTTAACTGAGAACTTGAAAATTGTGTTTGTTGTGAAAATACACGGGAAAAATGCAAAAACGACGGCAACAATTCGAACAGCAGCATTACCAACGACGTTGTGTTTGTTGTTCTTGTTGTTGTGGAAAAGCGAAATAAATTT